CGGAGACCTACCCAGCGAGAACCAGGAAAGCAAGACACGCACACTGACGCCTCGGCGTGCAGAATGAAACAGGATACGGGCGCGGAATGCGGCCGCGGAAGAACACCTCGCACAGTGCCGATCCGGCCGATCTCCGGACGGACGATTTCGCATTTCGTGGACAGCGAGCGCCACCGCACGGGAGAGAGAGGTACCTTAAAAACGACGAAAACAAGCACCGACACCTTGGTTCTTTATATTTGTTGTAGTTATGGAACAAATCGACTTACATGAAAAATTTGAATATTATTCGATTCCGTAATAAATTTAGAAGACATTAAGCGCAATACTGCTTATGTTTGAATTTAGATAATTTTGTAAATTCGCTCCGAACGCAAGAGTGCCGAATTAGCCGATTTTGACCATTTTCACGATTTTTTAAAGAATATAATTAAATTTATGATGAAACATTTGTTGCGCTTAGTGTCTCGATAATGACTCAATGTCTTTAAAGCCGAAATTTTCAAGAAGATCTGCGCAGCCGTTATTATGTGAGAATTTTTTTAATTTGGTGAAAAACCTCATGTATTCTCTATGGGGCTCTGAGGTGCGCCCCCTCTTAAAATATGAGATGCATATCTGTCCTATGTCAATTTTTGAAAACAATTTTTTTCTCAATGAGGAGTTTAATTTAAAACAAAATAAAGTAGATAGCCCAATTCCCCCGTAAATTTCAGTTCAGAAACATCTTGATTGTGGTATCGGAATACTTTTTACCTCTGAACAAAAGATTCCTTCGTATGAAATTTGCAGCAAAAAGTGGAACTGAGAAAAATGCATTCAAACTAGGGTTGTGCGAATATTCGAAATTTCGAATAGTAGTTTCGAATAATTCACTATTCAATATTCGCTTCGAGAAGAACTGCGGTATTCGCGATTGCGGCGGGTTAGCCCTGTTGAGCGTGCTTCTTCCCGAGCACCGGTGCACTGCGGAGAAGCAATACCCGCGGAAGCGAGCTTTGCGGGTGTTGCTTCTCTGCATTACATCAGAGCTCGGGAAGAAGCGCACTCAACGGGGTAACCCACTGCGATAAACACTTGGAAAAGTATGAATATCGCAATTGCGTGCTTGGAAGAAAAGCATACATTCAAAGCGGGATGGTGCACGCGTGCTGGCTGTATGTGAAAATAAATGGAAATTTCGTGAATGTTTATGTCTACATTGTAGTAAAAGTTTCAAAATTAAACTGACTTATGCAAGAACTATGTTAGGCAGAGATGTCCTTACAACCTGCATTCATCATGCGCGATTCTTTAACTCGAGATTAAAGAAAGAATATTTTATATAGCAATATTCGTAAATTCACTCAATTGGGTATAGTTAGCCACCTCTATAGGATGCATTTTGTCAAATCAGTCATCTATTTGCCATCCCAAGACATCAGGCCTTCTGAGGTCACAGTTCATAAATATCAGGGTGTCGAACCGGAACCGAACCGAACCGAAACTGAACCGGTATTTTTTCCGGAACTGAACCCGAACCGTTATATTGTTATTGCGATGAACCCGAACCGGAACTGAACCGGGAAAAAAAAAACGGTTACCGGCTCATGTCAAAACGGTTCGGCCACGCGCTGTTGACAATCAATGTGCTATCAATGCCATTTGTTTTTTAAGTGCCAACAACTGACACACACCTCGCTTACATATTTTTCTTCTCCACTCAGTCTTAGGAATATAAACGCTGCATCCATGAATCTTGACAAACGCTGCATCCATGAATCTTGACATAGGAACCAATATTGCGCTGGTTGCGGCTTGCACAAAAAAAAAAATTAGAAGGCTGTGCAAAAAAAAAAAAAAAAGAAATTGCGTCACAGGATTTCATTTTCCTACAATCTCGTAAATCCTAAATGCTGCTGTGTGCTCATTTCATAACACGTTTCTAGAACGCGCGAGTACTTAAAGCTTGCTTCCATCGGAATGAGAAAAGAAAAGGCTGTGGAGTTTGATAATAATGCATCCGGTTTCGTATAGGCACTTAGAAGCTAACATATTTGTGAGACAGCGAACTCTTCCATTTTAATATTTATCCTATAACGTCCTTCTGGCGTTGCGTTCGGTGAAGTGTTTTTCGTATTCTGTATCTTGTTTAATGAAAACTTCTTTAAGGGTCTAATTTGAGTTACCGAAGGCTAGTTCAAATAAAGAAAGCTGTACTTTCTCCCCACTGTTCCTTCAACTGCTTACACGCCGAGGTGGCGGGATAGTTAGCGAGTTCTACTTGTAAGTGGGTTTGTAAGGAGGTCGCGGATTTTACAGCTACTGCGTCGGACCCAATTGGATGAAGTCCGAATGCGTAAACGTCGGTGAGATAACCTTTGAGTGCACATAAAGAAACCATTCCTGGTAAAAATCCCTGAACCTTACACTACGATATATCCCATTTCGTATGTGCTGATTTCAGATGTTTTATTTGTAATTTATTTTGATGTTGCAATTTGTCATTTATAATTTCTGAACCGGTTCGCGAACCGGTTCAGCGCCCCAAACCGGTTTGCGGATCGAAGTAATCGAACCGGAACTGAACCGGAACAAAATAAATTTGCCTGAACCTGAACCGTAACCGAACCCGTATTTTTTTCGGTTCGACACACTGATAAATATATAGAATAAACTTGGCTTATCAATGAACAAGTGGAAAAACCTTCACAAGTTTAGCTGGGCTTTCGTCTAATTAAGCATTATGGAATGGCAGTGAAAGGCATGAAAAAACTATTCGATATTTGAATAAAAAAAATTCGGCCAAAATCGCAATTCGCTTCAAACTCAAAGTCCACTATTTGCACAAGACTAATTCAAACATTGAATTCCTTTACTTTGTTATTGCCTCACAATGTTGGAAATATTTTATGTCAACATAACTATTTGGCAAATGGTTATCAAATTTAGTGTAAGGGTGTATAATTAGTTTCTAAAACCAAAAACATTAAAATGCTTGTCGTCCTACAACCCTGCATCGCACAAATTTTCTGTGGCTTCCATACTGTTCAGGCGAGCAAATACTGTCTGCTCCACTGAAGAGGCTCTTAAGGAGGTCACAACGATCAAACACGACTTGAAACAGAACGGGTATCCTGCCAGGTTTTTGAACAACACGTACAAACAACTTGAACACAATGAAACACCCAACACACAACGTAAAGACAGGGGACGGGACAACACATCTTTCAACAAACATTAATTGTCATTCCTAACCAGGTGGATGTCCACCGAACCATTTACTTTCAAGATGAGTTGGGTAAAACATGGCAAACAAAGCAACAATTATCTTATTCATTTGACTAGTATAACTTCAGCTTTTCTTTTCCGGTACTGTACCATCAAGCGTCGAAGCAAAATGTTCTCAAGACCATCGAGCCAGCCGAGATGCTCCGACAGGTTAGCCGTTTCCCTCCCCTAGCACGTCGGAGCAAAGCAGCAAAGTTTGACACAAGCACCTCGGTGCAAGGCAGCAAAGCTTGATTCCAGAGCGCCATTGCAAAGCAGTGAGGCTTGACGTGGGAAATGGAAAATTCTAAAGACATTCGACTCTATCAATTGGAGCGCACTGGTTCACAATTTTCTAATATTCGGACAACTTGAACAGTTTGCGTTGTAGAAGTGTGCTGCAAATTGAATTGAATACCGAGCACTATTCACAAATTATTTTAAGTTTCAAATATTGGCATGCCTCTAGCACAAATATAAATGAACATGCAGCCAAATTGAGCTTCGCGAGTTGTCTTGCAACATGGGCGAAGCAAGCAAGTTGAACTTAGCTTGTCTCTAGAGTAAAAAAAAGATTGGGTTGTGTGTATGTTTATACAGTCTAGAACTTGGTCTGCCTCCGAGGGCGACGAGTCTCCCAGCTGTAGATGAGACATTTAGCCAGTGCGGTACAACCGCTAGCCTGGGGTCTTTAACGTTCATCCCGCAGTAGTGATACCCGACCGCACGCCGGTACACCGCTCATCCAGATCGAAGCAAGCAGGGGCGGGGATCAAACCCAGGATCCTGGGTTCTGCAGCGCGAGCTTTCGCTCCACGTGCTCCGAGCTGGTGTGCGCTGGACCACTCGGCCACCGATCCCCCTCGTCTCTAGAGATACAAGTTTGTGATTGTGTATTGCAACCTATTAGTATTAGGCTCGCTTTTATAGTCTTCCACAGCTTTGTACTTTACAACACACCTTCAAAGTGTGCAGTTTGTAATGCCTCTAAAGGACTACTTCAAGGAAGTTCCTCTTCGCCATTTTGGCTCTAGTGAAAATTCACGCAGATGCTGGTGGTGGTAGCAGTGGCCAATTATAGCACACATGTACACACCATTGGTCGCATTACTTGTCTTGTAGCATGCTTCCACATGTAGGATGACAAGACGTCCCGTTTTGGACAGGACAGTCCCGTTTTAGAGGTGCATTCTTCCCGTCCCGCCATTTCTTCTCTATGGAGCTTCACGTCCCGTTTTTGTGGGAACATGCGTGCATAGTTGCAAAATGAGTGCTAAGCGACTGGAAGAAATATTAAGGAATACATTATACATTTCATAAAAATACACTTAAAAATGTTACCTCCCATACAGTAAATTTAGAGGTCTTTTTGTGTGCTTCCATCTCGGACATTTTTTTGGGACACTCTCTATATTACTTATTTGTTTTGCTTAAAAATATAAAAAGTCGCAAAGAACTTCAGAAAAGTGTGCATTTGTACAGTAAACTAAATAGTAGCAGAGCTTGCTTCCTGCATAAAGCACTATGTACCGTGCCATGATGGCCACGATTTTAGTACCTTGCGTACAACACTACACTTCTATCTAACCCTGTGAATAAATTTTCTTTTATTTCTAGGGCCAAACATTACAGAGCTAAGACAAGCTGCAGAATACCCCTACATGTTCTAATCAGAAGGAGTAGGCCAAAGGATAGTTTATTAGCTAGGAATTTCAGTGAACCCTAGGGGCAAAGGAATTCAACTGGCACCGTGTTGATTCTCAAGTTTATTTATACGTTGATCTTCCATATTTACAAGTCACTAAATTTCAACATGCCGAGGAAATTCTGAGAACTCCAGAGAACAAGAGATAAATATGTGCATAAACCTTTCATACACTCAAACCGTATTTGGTAGCACTTTGCATACAATTGTGGACCAATGAACATCTGCCATGAGGCCACAAGGAGCAAACTGAAAGATTGTGCAAGTTAACATAGGACAGGCGTGATGGTGTATACTAATAGCTTGGCTGAGCCCGATTGCATCGAGGCAGCACCAGAGCGCAAAGTTCAAAACTGTCACCTTCAAATGCTTCCTGTTGTGCCAAACACACTGGCTTGGCATAATCGTACTCACCTGGGAAAAGGTAGACCCTCCCAAATGTGCACACACCGACGAGATAGCCGACCGAAATCCAACGCAACCCACACTCGCGTTTAATTGTGCGGATGGTGTCTGGAAGTGATTGTGGCATGTAGGTTTGCGTTTCCTTCGCTATTCAAAATAATCAAAACAAGACTACAGCAGACGTACAGGGCGGTCAGCTTTTAAAGGGGACACCGGAACGCGTGGCCGGCGCTCCCCACTGCTCTTGGCGCAGACGCAGCGGGCTCCAGAGGCGGTGCATGCAAAGCGTCGTCTGCAGCTGCGCCGCCCTTTCGCTCATTGTGCCGTACCGTGGAGTAGCAGACTAGGTGTGGCAAGAGCTGCCTCGCGCTCGCTGCGTCTGTGCCAAGCTTTCACAGGCGCCAGCAGCCGGCGCAGCGAGGACCACCAGGGACCGCTCTGTACCTAGGCTGGCATAATTTAATATACAACGGATTTCTTCACTTCAATCCTACACAATGTACATCTAAAGAAAAACAGAACAGTTTTTGCTCCAGATTTGACCTTAACAGAATCGATAAACTCTCGTTGTATACGAGGGAAGACCGGAAAACATCGTGACAATGACTTTTGGGGTATCAGATTCATTCAGCTCTCGGACACTGCTTACAAGCAGTGTCCGAGAGCTGCCTGCAACAAAAGCTGCAATCCCACTGCCGCGCTGTCAACGGACAAACGGGGGGTCGGCGCGTGACGAACGAAAGGCGGAAGTGACGACGGCAGGTGGACGCAGGTTCCTCCGAACCAGCCGTCGTAGCTCTTGGACGGAACCGGGGAGGTCTATGCAGCCACGAGCGTTTCTTCGTACATCTGGCGCAGCTCGATCTTGGGGTGGTTCTCGAAGAGCGCCGCCCGGTTCTGCACCTCTCCCTTCTTGACCCAGTGACAGTACACCCTGAAGGCACATCCGTCGATCACCTGCGGAGGAGCCAGAGAGCCCGTCTCGATTTCGGCGGCAAACCTCGACCAGCTACCGCGCGTTTATGAGTGGAGTTTCCTCTTTTTGCCGTTTATTGTTCTTCGAATTCGAGGGTATTTTTTGGGGGCTTGTTCTTTTCCCGCAGATTTGGCGTATTTTAAAGCCTGTTTTTGGTGTTAAAAAACCCGCGTTTAGTGGCGCTTGCGTCGAAGAAAACTGGACACGGCAGTGCAATTCCACAACCTCCGGGGAACGTGCGCGTAACCTGAAAGCTTGGAAAGCATCCCCTGCGCCGGTAAGAGAAAGGAGCAGGACAGGGGATGTAGTTTCCGAAGGAAACAGCAGCCTCGGAGACAGTTTGGAGCAGACCGTGTTTCGGGTCAACAAAAGTAAAGGGGTCTTTGCGAACCAGTGTTGAAAAATGTCTAACCATACTAACTTCACACGTGTCTTGATTTTTGTTTTACTTTAAATACATTCATACATTGGAATATATCCTTAAGTGTATTTTTCGAGGAAAGTTCACTTGGCTTCCGAGCACATTTCTCCAAATTCGGTCAGCAAAATGTGGCTTTGATAGTACCACCAGGCCAATCATCACGAGCCTCTGCCGGCTTCTTGAACCAAATGTTCAGCTGCTTTGTATTTCTTCACCAGTAATAAAGTTAGTTCTTACTCCATTCATTTTTATTGCGTGCCAGTAATGTCTGGCTGGAATGAGGCACTACCCACAAAAATGGTATTAAAGAATATTTTTACCTTAAAAGTACATTTGTCTAATGCAGTTTACGTCACATACCTACATTTGACCCAATGTTTTATTTTTTTAATTTTTTTTAGAGCTAGTATGTACAGTAGCACGCCATAGTTTATGTTGGAAGTGACTGTAACAAAAAATATATAGTACATGCTTTAGGAAAATGTAATAGCCAATAGCGCTTTTGGGTGCCCATAATGTAGGTGAAAGAGGAGGAAACTTTTGCTCTACAATCAATTTCACATGGAGCTTCACGATCGCAGGCAACTACCACATATGGTACTCGAGTATCAGTGGATTTCTTTTTTGGCACTCCTTGTTTTAAATGTCAAAGAATTTAAACACAATAATGGGTAATGGATGCTTACCAAATTATCAGAATTCTTTGTCTGTACCCATGACAATGTCACGGTGAAACTGACCTTTTCCAGAAAAGCTGTTGCGCATGCGCGAAAAAATGCTAGCGCCTCCATCCAGGCTGAAAGCAAATAGGCCGCGCGACCTTTTTTTAAACCTACAATAACTGTTGTGGAGCCATTTTCTGCGTCGTGGGTTGCCCTGTTTCTGATAACACCAGCGAACTATTGCCAAAGGCTGCAAGAATGAAATTCACGGGAAGGAGAGCGCCTAGTATTTTAGATTTCGGTCAGAAAAGTGTGTGTCTTGCAAAAAGAGAAGCTTGGATAGCTACCATAAAGAGAAGGAAGTCGGGCGGCTCACTGTGACAACCAAAAGAGCGCTACCGGACCTGCAGCGTATTTCATCACGGGCACGTCGACATTGTAAGCCTCTGACAAGTCCTCCGTGCACTGTTGAGCCTCATTTTACAACCTTTCTACAGCCTCAAACCCGAAATTTCGGAGTCTTTGGCGCTGGACAACACGTGGCGTGCTGCAGCTCGCCAATCACCAATTGCTCTCCAACAGTGAGAATCGCATTGTGTGATCCTCGCAGTTTCTTAAAAAAAAAGCGCAAAAAGTCGGAATGATTGAGTTCTAAAATTAAAGCTCGTTCGTATGCCACCATAACTATCTCTTTTCGGTTAGCTGATGTAATGACAACAAAGTTCCCGTGATGACACGCTTTTTCACGTGTCCCATTGATTTTGTTGTCGCCAAGATTCAGTCTCTGTTCACGCGTAATGTTGAAGAAAAAAAATTGGCTGAAATCACTGCTGCTGCTACCTGGATTCTCGAAGAAATGCGTGAGCATTTTGCACAGCGGTTATGTTTAATGAAGCACGGCGAATGCAGCCTCTCGGCACTTTTCGACGGGGTGAACATTCCTAAATCCCCTCATCTCCCTGGTGCAAGTAGAGCAGTTCTAGCGTGTGCACGAAGGATGTGCCTGTGATGCATGTAGAACGACAAAGCCATTTCATTGTGCGTATTCATTCACCGCGAACGTGCGTTTAATCCTGCGGCGGATAGATCATGCACATGGCCGGCCTGTGCAATGTGAAGTACGCCACATAAGCCACCATTTTAACGTTATGTACATGGCGACTGAAGGTCAAATCGAGAGTGGTGCCGTTGCGCGACCCGTGCGCGTACACAGGTCTCCAAACCCGCACCCCGCCCGCCATCTGTCGGCGCTTGCAGAAGGCGTTTCCTAGCCAGTTTCCGCAGCCAGCGCAGCTGTGGCGCCATCCCGTAGCGACGTTGCAAACTTTAGTTAGTTCAATCCGGTCCAAGGCAAGGGCACTAATGTAAAACTGCTAGTACTGAGCCAAGAGCGCGGTAGCATTTGTTCTAGCTCACATTGTGGGCCATACTACAGTCCTTTCCGAGTTGCTAGAACGCTGGCTATTGCCCCTCACCTTGCGAAGCGTCTTGATGCGGTAAGGGTCAGTCCTCGCCAGGATGAGGCTCAGCGGCTCCGGCGTGAAGCGTAGTCGCCGGATGCGTACCAGTGCTCGGATACACAAGATGCCAAACTGGAGAGGGAAAACCAATTACATTTAGTGTGCCTGTCAACAAGACTCTACGAGAACCAACCACTGTAATCCAATCCACCATTTTCGAAATAACTTGTACCACTTGGCAAGAAAACTGGGTTCGAGGATTCCCAGAATGAAACAATGTTCAGCCTCAGCAAGGGGATGGAAGAAGCTTCTTTGAACAAACTTGGGGGTGAAGATAAGCCATAATAGGCACAAAATGAACAATGTGGGACCTCAACCTAGGTCGCTGCAGCTGAATGGATGAACACGTGCTCAAGTATTTTCGTACCAGAACCTCCTGAACCAGCAATTTCTAAAAATGGTGGATTAGACATTGCCTCAAGAGCATTAAAACAGTTAAATAAATACCTGGTGTGCTCAAGAAACACTAACAGGGCGTTTTTCATCACATAAATGAACTATGCGATTCACCGCAGAGCACAGAAACTGCACCTGGAGGACAAGGCTAGCAGTGATGATGAGATGCAAAGTTTAGACTTAAAATGTTCCTTGTATCATTAATCCTACAAACATATTTAAAAGTCTCAGCAAAAAGGTAGAATTTTCTCCTAATAGCACCTTTCCTGGCCCATCCCTTTTTCTCTCTGGACAAAGCAAGCAAACAAAACCTGCCACTTAGCATGTAAAGCTTTTTTATTTATGTGCCGAGATTATTTCTGCTTCATTTATCCAGCTATATATTCACACTATCACACTGTATTTAATGATGTACAGCTGAATTATGCAATGCAAGACACGCATATATTTTCCTTCCACACACCCAGTGCTCATACTTCGTAAACTCAATAAAAAAAAGTGTGACTATCTGAAAAACCTGCATACCACAGTGTCTGTGCAATTGTCAACAGATGCTGTACCATCTCTTGGCACTTGCTATTCTTACAGATTAAGTCTTGGCGGTCTCCTGCTCAGTTCTCTCATTATTGAGTGTATAAATTTTTTGCTATGCCCTACGAGCAAAACTCAACCCTGCATAGTAGAACTATGACACTTCACTGGATGGCGTCCACAGCAGTGAAGATTGGATGCATAAGTTTTTGCCTAAATGTTATCTGTGCCAACAATTACAAAATAATTTTCTAAAGAATTTGCATTACAGGTAGCAGACATACGCCGACCATTTGATACTGCAGCTCAGAGATGGCACTAGCTTTCAGTTCTATGGCCTCTCCGTGTTTGCGACTCCAGCAAAACAGACGCCACCAAGCGGGAAAACCGGGAACCAGCCGGACCAGGTCGCTCCGCGCCCCTCCGCGTCTCTGGTGGCTTTCGCGGACACGTGTAGTCGGCGCGGTGGTGAACAATCTAATTTGACGAAGGTCCGAAAATTTCTCAAGTTTGCCTGAGTGTTCATTAGTGTGGTGAAGCCTCAGTAGATTGTTTCCTTCCATCACGTGTTTGAAAGACCGTTTACTCCACAACACACGATCGCGTCCTTTCAATTTCTTGGATGGAGAGAAATCACGGAAAAACGTTTTGATTTCTTGTCTGTTTTGAATTACACTCAAAGTTACGGCTACTTAGTAACTGATAAGTGGTTTCTTTATAAGGATGTAGAACAGTGAACTGAGGATGACAGATGAGGTGTTTCACTGGAGAGGACACCAATGTTGCAGTCAAGTGAATGGGAAGGTTCGATAGCTGCTTTTCTTGAGTTTGGTTGTGTTCGGTTGGCCTCAAGTTTGAGCCACCCACACCGGTCGGTGCGTTGGCTATTCATCTTGGCTGCTTTTCGCTGGAAAAGCCTCTGGACCACACTGAAGGAGTTGGGCTGATTTCGCAATTACTTGATTCAGGAAAACCTGCTCGCTGCCAATTATGAATGAGGGAAATTATCTGTTTTCAAAAGGTGGGGGACGAGTCCCGCAACGTTAGAAGCTGTCACGGCATTTTGATCTATTGCGCCTCCCAATATTTATATTATACCCCCGTCGAGGCCAGAAGCAATATGCGTCTACATTGCTCAGGTTGAGCGGCCACAAAAAATACTCATTTTCTCCATTCAGGATTCCAAGCAAAGTTCAATGCAGAGAAATTCTGCGTGAATCTCCGATGAAGACTCTCTTCAGTTTGTCTCCCTGCTACCGGCTAGAACCATTTGGCTGAGTATAAGTAGTATCTCTCTGTCTGTCAAATATACTTTTATTCAGCAATTCTCTTAATAGCTAGTCAACTAAGCTCATATTTGAACCCGAAGAATACACTAATATCGCTTTAGTGGGCCATAGTACGTAGTATAATTCATAACCCTCTCGTCAAAATGACTTCTCGATTGCTACTAAAACCTGAATTGAAATGCGAGTATCAGCTTCTTAGTGGAGCGCCAGCGTGTTAACATGCTTCTTGGCTCAAGAAGCCCTTGCTTAATTTTCGTAATTTTCCTGCAGCCTGTGTTGTCGACCGAGTAGACGACTGGAGCTGTTTCTTAAACGCGGATACGCACAAAAGCTAGATTTCGCGGACAGATAAGTCGCATGGTCGAGGCATGCGAGTTAGCTGAAAATTACTATCGGAGGAACAGTTCTGTAGTCATCGCCGCGTTCCATAGATGATCAAAACGGATTAGTATATTACCATCTCTCCAGAACCCATAATTTCGGTTTTGAACGAAATCTCCGAAACAAAAGTTTGACATGGAAAAAACAAAAAAACAGAGAAAACAAAACTATGCTTTGCAAGTTTATGTGCACTGGCTACACTTAACCGTCTCAGTTCAAATACACATAAAATCGGGCATTAAACAAAAGAAACTCTGTTAAATTGAACGCGCCACCTGTTCAGGCAGCCCGGCCGAGTTGACGCGACCTGGACTCAGCCGCCATGTTTGTTTGGTAGTGGCGCCCCTATAGGTCGCCGGAGTCGTGAATAGAAACCACCTTCACATCATTTATAGCTGGCCTTATCTATGAATTGGATGTTGAGTAGAGGGCTTACGACTGCCAGTGACCGGTGAACATCGACCCCTCTGCAATACTGTCGACACCGGTTATAATGAAGTCAGTTATAACGAAATAGCGGCTACAGTGAAGCAAATCACGATTTCCCATTCCCTTTTACACTTCGTTATAACCGAAGTCGGTTATAACGAAATAGCGGATATAGCGAAGTGATTTCCGATTCCCGTTGACTTCGTTATAACTGGGGTCAACAGTACGTAATACGGAAAACCATCAAATATTTTTATGGGCAGGCTGCGTACGATTATATTCTACTGTAGTAGCAAAAATGACTTCATTATTTCTCTGAGGTATGTAAATGATGCTACCATATGGCATACAAACAAAGCGCAGCTGTGGAGGCCAGAAAGGTGCCATAGCATGAAGAAATTAGCTGGCAATCAATAAAACATGCCTTACCTGAAAGGTTTTTCTGGCATCGAAGATTCTTTTCTGAGTTACCTAGAGAACAAAGGGAACCGGCCTTAAAATCTTCCCCACGCACCAACCCAAAGTTAGTTTTGCGTGTCCAGTTCTACGGTTACCGCCGAGCTATTGAGGAGGTCCTTCTAGCCCCAGCTACAGTAAGCCATACTATACCGTGAAACTAGGATACTTACGGCTTCGGTGGGCACGCCTACACTAGCACGTTTCTAAAGACATTTTGAAAAAGAAACAGAATCGAAAATGAACACGGGCGTCAACGGTTGTATTGAGCAACTGAAATAAACCCAGAACGTTAATCATCGTCGCGAAGGCACCGTGCAAAGGGATGGTGACGATGATTATCGGCGTAGGAAAAGGCACGACACTCACCACAGCCTTGAAGAAACTGTGTTCCAGGGCTCCCGCGGCGTCGATGCGGGCAGCAGGATCCACGACCAGCAGCTTGCTTATCTGACAGACAATGAGCGAGGAAATCGGTGCATCTCAGTCCTACGGATAATGGCGGGAGACTCGGAATGTGTAGCACGTTTCGAGGCGCCTCGCGTTAGCGCGACTATGGTGCCCGGAACGCGTCTCCGACTGGTGTGTTTACCGCGGCCAAAAAAGCGGTCCCTCGATTTCCGCCTAATGACGTCATAAAAGTGTTTTGCTGTCGCCGGTCGCGACCCTTGCGGCGTCCCAACAGTTGTGGTATATATGGCAGACGCCTGTTCTGCTACAGGACGCTCTCCAATGCGGCAGTCCACGGGAGCTAAAGCAGCCGAAAGTTGGGACGCCTGAGACGCCGTGATGACAGCGACACTCGCGTTCACTCGTGCTTTTCGCCAGCATTTCTACGGCCAACCACCAGGATCGTGACAGGCAACAACATGACACTCCGGCTTCTGTGACGTCATTTGTTGCCACTTGGGGACCACTTTTGATGTATGGGCGGGATAGGACGCTAAACACACCAGTCAAAGACGCGATCCAGGCACCATAGAGCGACCCGGACGTGGTGTCGCGCGACTCGACGTCGTGCAAACGCCTTATTAGTTGCGAGACATGATCTCACGGCGTCGTGCAGGGACATCGCAACCCCGAGGTTCAACCGGATCGGCAGACCTTTTAACGCTCGACAAAACTGAAGGAAGTTTCGACCTACAAACACTGTTGCCCGTCCTCTGCAGAAAAATTTTTGAATTTCGGGAGGCACGTATTTTACAACTGACTTTATTTTATATGGTAGTCCCTCGTTACAACAAAGTTAACGGGATGGCGAAAAAATTCGATATAAGCGGTAATTCAGTAAAAGCGGGAGAGCCCGAAAAACGACGACAGCAGCCTCTAAGGTGGACGGGAACACTGCAGAACCCTTCGACCATATATTTAATCGCACAAACCTCGGTTGTGAACAATTTGCGGCAGCTTTACTGAGGAGTAAAAGAATAGTCAATAAAAGTTTGCCGATAATTTTATCCAGGCATCGTTTCTCTCCTTGAACCGCTTCGGCATCACAAGAGCACCGTCACCACAGCTGCACACCACTTTGTTCCGAAGCAGCCGTAAGATGTTTCCTTCTGCAGCCGTCGGTATTTCTCGTGGTGCCTCTCTGACGTCTCTTCGTCTTTACCTTGGCCGCACACGAGGTCTACGAGCACAAAACGTGTGGCAGAAGCAACGACGGAAATGCCTGCAACGACAAGTGCAAACGAACTCAAGTTGTCCTTGGTGACTTCACCAATGTGTTCTCACACACTCTAGTAGAGATTGTTGCATTTCTGGGAGTCGTGCGCTGGCTCAGCAAGCTACGCGTGCGTGAAAACCCAACGTGCACACAAAGCAGTTGGCGATTTTTTATCATTGACTTGCGAGTGCGCTTTCTTTTGCAGGAAAAACTTTTCTTGAACCCGTCCAGTATGTCTTGCTAGTTCTGCAAGGTCGTCGACATCGTTGAACAGTTGACTCCAAAATGTCGAATTTCTTGGCAATTTCGGACTTGGGCCGACCACCTTTTTCCACCTCACAGAACAAAGCGAGTTTCAGTAAACACTTTCATATGACACATGTTTACCACGTTTGCGCAACGCAAAGCGGGGTGGCTGCGGCAGCACGTGTCGCGGGCTCCCAAACGGATGATCTTTTCCGGGCTCCTTCGCTTCCTTGACCTGATTCTGACGAGAGGCCGCGGGAACCATGCGTACCGTCGGAACATGGACACTGTTTCCCGGCTGCGTCGGTGCATCGGCATCAGAAGCGGCACTCTGTCCTCCACCACCCGCTTGCTCCGTTTTTTATACAACGTTTTCCCAGTTTGTCGTCTGCCTCGGTAGAAGAGGGGAAGTACACAAGGGGACTCCACGCACTTCTGTGTAGGCTCGCGTGCTTTCGGCACCTCGGCCTTTGTAATAGGGGTGGTTGGCTGTTGACACCCTTAAGATAATCTCGTTCAAAAAGCATGAATTTTGCTTGGTACCCCATTAAACGATAAAAAAGATTTCATTATAATAAGGGACTATTGTATCTTATAAAATGATTGCCAATGTTTACACGGTATTAAAGTAAACATATGTACTCCCAATGCTTTGGTTGGTTTATGAAAAATATTGCGACTTTTCTCCTGCCAGGTGGTGTCATCTCGTTTTCAATTTTCACGCACCTGCACAAAAATTGAACCTTGACAAAATTGCACCTCGGCAGGTTACAGACATCCCTAGTGTCGCATGACGGCTGTCATGCTCATGTTGTCAAGTGAATGCTGTCCGCTAAATTTGTTGGGACACGACAAGTGTGCCAAGTCAGGCGGGCATGCAACGGTTTTTCGCGACATCACATTAAACCTTCCTCGGGGATCCCAGCCCTGAAACCCATTCAGTGCTACAACCTTCCGTTAAGAACTGCCTGTTGGTCCTCAATGTGACTAGCTCCTGATGGGGCTATTCACATGATAGGGACTTTAGAAAAGGGGGTTCAGGCCCTTGTCCAATCTGAGTACAGGAACGTAATAGACTGTTAAAATGTAGATCAGCGCCAGGCAAATGTTTTTCTAGAGACATTTCTCCAATAGTTGTTGTTCTTTTAGTGAAACCAAGCCATGTGTGCATTAAGCGTCCAGTAGTTACATCACTATTTTGAAAACTGAACAGTTTGTTGCAATGCAGAACAAAACTTTGAAGCAGTACTTCGGCCATACCTGGCAAAATCATACAATGAGTGTTTTTGGGACGGTAAATCTTGGCGGAATTGTTTGTGTATCGAGACTCGCACCACAACTTCCACCGAGAATGCCATCAATTGTCGCTATGGTCACACGGCCGCTTACGCGAGCCAATGAGAGTCGGGCCCACATGTGGCTACGGCGGCGACACTATTGCAATGGCCACCGGAGCTCAGGGTGTATCCAGTCAACACAATCTGCTAAACACGGCGAATGAGACATCACCCAGTAACTTTGGCAAATGGTCACTTTTTCACTTCGGTCTTTTCCTACGTAGCGGACCCAATTATATCTACAATGTTAGAAGTCCTCCTGCACTACACATGGCTTGCACATGACGTCACTTCTGATGACCTCCAGAGAAAAGGGGAAGAAGGAGCTCCCCTCTTATCAGGATCCTCCTTTGTGCCTCCCAGATTTGCACAGGCGTCGCTATTCTCCTCCCAGAAGATTAGAGAAGATTAACCTGTCACTCAAAATTCTTACAAAGGCAGCTTCCCTCTCCTCCTTTTACATGGTGTTCAAAACTATGCGATGTGACGTCAGTGCAAGGAGCCTATACAGCCTTCTTGAATAGTGCTGACGTGGCACTTGCGAGTCGAGGTGCGCTGTACGGACTTCTGTCGGGAGAGGTTGTAACGGTGTGCTCTCACCAGGTCCTTGGGAGCCTCGGTGATGTCGTCCCATTCAGGGCTGCAGAACTCATACTTTCCTTCCATGATGTTGCGAAGCATGACCATCTGCTTGCGGTGCCAGAAGGGAGGGAAGCCCACAAGCCTGGTGGACGCGAAGAGCACCGTCAGCTCACCACCTTTGTTTTAGAGCGCAGCTCTTAGGGGCCCGTTTCCAGCCTGAGCGGCGTCGGCGTCAGCGTCGCCGTCGGCGTAACCGGGGGGGGGGGGGGGTCACGTGACCCCCCCCCCCCCCCCCTTGAGGTCGCGTGACCCCCCCGGGGTCACGTGACTACTCGCAGGTGACGTGACCCCCCTCAGTACCCTTCCCTACTCCTCCTCAAGAGCTGCGCTCCAATTCGGCGTTACAGGGATTTGTAAACGGCTTTCATTTTTTCTTCCATTGTCTGTTCACCCTATCAGCTGGCAGTGCTGTGGAACATAGGTTCTTGTTGGGCCAATCATACGTCGATCTTTTGCCACGTGATCACCGTACCAACATGCCGAGAGCGTGGTCGGGCGACGAAACGTGGCTCCCACAGCACTGCCAGCTTTGGGGTGAACAGAGTACAATTCAGGCTGGTGACAGATACAGCCTGGACATACTTGCACCAGAAGCTCGGGGCTTCTATGCTGGGGCTGTTTCATAGGTCACAGAGTCTATAGGGGTACTGAATACGAGATTTATGTATACTAATTACGCCAACCTTTCGAAATTTGGATAAAAAAAAAATGTAGGAGTTAACTTTTTTTTTTTTTTTCTTTCGTGCACTTGGAGAAACAATGTTTTCATCTTTCAAAGGAACAGTTTAGTTTACATTTCAAGCATTGAATGTAGGGTTCACTCACAATGTGTACATGATGACTCCACAGGCCCAACTGAAAATAGAGTAAACATTATTGATACACTAGTTATCGTCGGCACAAAAAAAAAGAAGCTCAGAGCAGTGTTGCATCAAAGGCTTAAGAAGGCATTACCGTAAAATTTCCAAAGATGTCCCACCCCCAAAGGATAACCTGTCCCTATTTTGGCCTCGATTTGCTATTTTCTTATAAACACCCAAAGGTAACCCACTACTAGTAATCATAGTGTTGGGATCAATGACAACCTCGGCATAAATGCAGGCTAGTTAGCCATGGCCGAATAAATGAACATTGCTGCCTAGAAAGTACAGTTATCTTTGCTCCATTGTCCTTTTATATGATAACAAGTTTGTTGAAAAAACATAATCTAAAAATATATTTTTTTATCAATTTTTCTCGATTGCCGATTGAAAGTTAGCCCACTTTTTTATTTTCACCCGATTTGCTCTCGATACTAGGTGGGCTGTCTCTCGGGATATGACGGTACCTGGTAAAACTGCTACGCCTTGCGTTTAAAGAAATATTCAACTTAAAGAAAACTTTCAGTCTTTCCACTTTGGTGAAGAAGGAAGAGCAGCAAAGCTGTAGCTTCAGTTCTCGGTGGTGGCTTTCCAGGCGAGCGATATGCTCTTCTTTCGCAAGACAATCTGAAGCGCTTGACGCAGTGGAACTTCAGGCGATAGTGGCCTCATGGCGGTTGCAAAACCATTTGCGCTAGTGCACACATTCTTCAGCTTCAGATTGAAGCATCCGATACCATCCGATTGCTTCACACAGCTAACAGAGAGAGGTTGTCCGTACATGTCCACTTGCTTGTCGTAGCCCGTGGAACTTTCGTACATGGAGGACTTGAGCAATTCGGGTGCTAAATACCCTGGAGTCCCACAGAGTTCTGCAAAATGAAAGGGGATATCCGACCTTCAAGGTAATGTCCCTCAATGAATTCTGACCTTCAGTTTTTTTGTGGTTGTATAGTGGTGTATGCTATTTATACAGCTCACTATTCAGAAAATAAAGCAAAAAAACAAACATATATGAAGTATTTCACCTTGATATACGGAAAACTCACCACAGCATCAGGAGGACACATTTTGGGTGCCAATTGGTCGTTGGTCTCACATTGCACATTTCAGTTCATACAACACGTCAGATAGAGGGTGTGCAAGGTATTAGAGAACATGACTTCAGGATGCGTAATTTCTCATACTCTTACTGCTCTCATACTCTTACTGCTTCTCTCTACACACTTCACTTTGCCTTCGACTGCATCTATGTCATCTGTGTAGTGTATACATTTCAAAATGGCAACTTCCGGTCCAACACAAAAAATTAAACGTCATGCCGCCCTGGTCGCCTTGGCCGTCGCCGACCACAGCAATTTGGATACAGCCACCTTCTTGAATGTGTCGAGGTCTTTCGTTTACGATTTCGGGATCCGACGGGAACATTAGAAATGTGGCCAAGCAAAAAAAAACACCCCCAGCGTTTAGATGTTGTCGGGACGTCCGAGTTTGTCCAGCCGGTGCAGGACATTGTGAACAATGATCCAAGAAAGTCAACGAGGGCCATTGCTAAGCAGCTCGAGGTGGCAGTATCGATTATCATGCTCACGGTACATGAAGACCTTAGATACCGTGTCATCCGGTCCAAGCGCCTGCTGAACAAGCTCAAACTCCCCAAAGGACCGGACGTGCTTCGTTTTTGTTTTTTTTCTGACGAGAAGAGCTTTGATTAAGACCAAAAGGTGAACAGGAGGAATGACAGGTGGCTCCGAGCGAACCCCGAGGAGGTTTCTACGGTCGTGTCGACAAAGTTTCTGTCATCTGCTACGGTCCAAGCCGTCACAAGCAACAGGGGTCACGTTGTGCCGCCGCACACCATTCACCAGGACCTTAGGGCAAACTCGAAGGCCTACATCGAGACCTGGCGCTGTTGTAAAACCTTCGATAGAAGGGGTGGCTCAAGGTCTCTGCCACACGATCTGCGCAGCCCAAGATTAGCTGGCTGACAATCTCCACGACACGACCGTGTCACCTCCAAGAAGTGGCCCCTTAGCTCCCCAGATGTAAACCTCCTGTAACATTATGTCTGGGGCATCGCTGAGAGAGATATCAACAAGCGACCCCACAACCCAGAAGAGTCGCTACAGACTGCTACTGTGGACGACATTAAAAAATGGAAGCCGTTTACAACTCCCTGTAACGCCGAATTAGAGCGCAGCTCTTGAGGAGGAGGAGGAGGGAAGGGTACTGACGGTCACGTGTTCACGGGGGGGGGGGGGGGTCACGTGACCTGGGGGTGTGGTCACGTGACCGCTAAATTTAGCGGGGAAATTTTCCGCTAGATTTAGCGGGGAAACTTTTCCTCTAAATTTGGCGGGGAAATTTTTCCGCTAGATTTAGCGGGGAACTTTTTCCGCTAGATTTAGCGGGGAAATTTTTCCGCTAGATTTAGCGGGGAAATTTCTCCGCTAGATATAGCGCGGAAATTTTCCCGCTAGATTTAGCGGGGAAACTTTTCCGCTAGATTTAGCAAGGAAATTTACCCAGAATGCACCGCGCGGTTACGCCGACGGCGACGCCGCTCAACCCGGAAACGGGCACCTAAGAGCTGCGCTTTAAAAATATATGTACATCAAACTTGCCATCAGCATACCATGCTGACCAGCTGAAGGATCTCGCATAAGCAATTTCAGTGACAACCACTCACCAGTTAGAAGCTCTCCAGGCTGGATATGAATAGCAAATCCAAAGTCTGTTATTTTGACATTTAAGCTATCATCCAACAAGATGTTTTCAGGCTGAAAAAAAAAAAAAAAATAATGGTAAAGGAAATGTAAACCGGATAACTTTTCTATTCCCCATGTAATTATATCTCATTGGGATGTATGTCACTGTAACCACTGCCGTGACAAAGTTTAATTTCTCCTGTTCTGAGGCTTGGGCCATATTGCAGCACCTCATCTGCCCAAATAAGCCAAAAAGGCTGGCTACACTAGTCCACGTGATCATAGGGAAAAAGAAAAGGAAGACCCCAGATGGGTTAATTTTAAATGGCTGTTTTTGAGCACAAAGAGTTTTGAGCCCGGGTAGAAAATGTGTAGTTCTGGATATCCGCACCCGCTGAAAACACAAAAGTATAATGTGTGAAAATACACTGTGTGAGGAGCCCTTGAGATTCACAGAATATTATCACTTGAAACATGGCCACCCTGTAGATGAAGAAGAAACAAAAAAACTTGCCTTGAGATCCCGATGGACAATGCCTTGCGAATGAATGTAATCCAGTGCTTCGAACAGCTGCTTCATAATGCTCCTGCAATACGCAGTTTGACGCCATCTCATAAACTGCTCAAAATGCAAACGATTCGGAAATTGACCGCGAATTTCTCACTTTGTTTTCTTTTCGGACAGAGCAACAACCGTTGTCAGGTAATCAAAGAGTTCACCTTGGCGGCATCTGCAAGAAGCCGCCAGTACAGTATGAGTGTGTAGGAATGCATGGAGGCACTGCGGTAGCCTAGTTTGAGTTGCATGAACAAAGGATTTATAATTTAGGCCCACTTCAGATGGGGCACTTTCTCTCAGCAACTGGAAGATGCACTAAAGTGGTTTCTGAGATGAACATTTTATGGTGGTACTAACGCTATCTACAAACCTAAAAATTACGGTCGTGCTTGTCCCATTTCCCTGTTAAGAAATGTTTAAAGGTCGCAGACACACCCTTCCTCTGGGCGAATTCCCCGCGTGAAGCGGTCGACAAAGACGTGAGCGCGCGGACGAATCAGCGGAGTGGTTCCGGATACCTAGTAGTCCCAAGCTGTCGCCGCCCTGGACAAACTATGTTTCAGCAGTCATGTGCACGTGATGGACATTCACAATATGACGTCATTAGAATAAGAAATCCTTCGACAATCAAGGGCGTTTATACTCCAACGTCGGCGAACGCAACGCGAGTCAGCGCAAGCGACGTGGCAACAGCATCATCTCGCGCAGCACATTTCCTCTTCCCGGTCGACACTGGAGTCGATACAAATAATGCTATTGGTGTGGGTGGTTTGTCCTTGTCATGCTTTGAAGCAGCGATTTGGGGCAGTGGTTAGCAGTTCAAAAACAAGAAAATGATGGGGAAAACCAGTGCACACCAGCATTCATTTTCACCGAAATGTCGCACAAATGTCGACGGAAAAACAAGAAATCCGCAACATCGCGTCCGTCGAGACTAGCCACTTGGCAGGTTCGCCAGGGTCGTGTCAAATTGACTCCGGTGATTCCGCCAGGACACTTTGTTGGAAGCTATGCATTTGATATTCCATGGCTACCTCCTTGTAACAGATGGCCAGTGTGCTATCACTGCAGCCAGCCTTTCACGTGGACTCAAGAAACTAGCACGGAAGACAGCATACGATGCCTAAATTACGCAGTGTATCGCATTCGAAATTCCAGCCCACTTTATGGAGCCCATATAAGCAACACAGGATTCCCCGTATTCATCGCCCTACCGCTACTATCATTTACAAACTGAGACACCCCAGTTGAACATTTCTGTCCAGCTAAATAGCGGATGTTTCACTGGGCTCGCCATTCCCGTAGATTCGACGGCGCCTGTTGTTTCGATCGAGAACGGCCTGCGGCACGTCTTCAAGCTTCCAGCTTTTGCCGGCACAGCGTGCAACGTGCGTGTGAGTCTAGTGCAGTAGGCCTACAAAGTGTGTCGAGGGCAGCGCATCCTCGAAGCAGTCCACATCCACGCACACACTCGCCCAATTGATTGCACAAACTTTAAATATACACACCAACGCAGGAACATGATAACAGCACATGACACATGACAGGTTCAGATCGCAGAAATGAGTGTCTCGCACACTCCGAGTGACCCCGACATCCAGACTACCGAATGCGGCGCTCGTGCGAGGGCCTCTGGGAAAGCCACCGTGGCCGGTGTGTGGGTTGTGCAGCTGGCTTTTCCGTCCTGAACTACGCGGACACGTGCTGGGCTACACTGTGCAACGTCGCGTTGCAGATAAGGCTGGAGTAAAGGCACCCGCTTGCAGCCAGCGTCGGCCAACGCGATTGAGTGTGTGCGCTTGTCGACGTCACGACGCACGACGCCGATGAGTAAAGCGCGATAGAGACGAACCACGACAGCCTGTCGTAGCTAGGTGGTGTAAGCTACTGACGTCATAAAAAATATGATTGATATCCATCCATTCATCCATGCACCGGATGGAGTCAGACGGACACATCACTCTGGGTGAGGCAAAAGACGAGGAAAAATATAGTTCTTTGGTCTCGAAGAGAAATTTCAGTATTATGCCGTTTGCACCATTAACATTTTGCATCTCTGTCGAAATACAATGCAAAGGGTACCCAAAAATGGGTATAATAATACTAATCGTAATCTCCATTTGTAAAAAAAAAAAATAGAACGCAAGAAAAAAGTGTTTGCATGATTTTTATTACCGCAAGATCAGTAAGCAATATTTTAATTTGGAACTAGATTTAGACGTTAACTGACACCTATTACACAATATAACATCAAAAAGATTTTTTTCAAAAAGCACTTCAGTGCACCTTTGTCGTTCCAACAACAGCAACACAAGCCACCTGCGTTCATACGCAGCAACCGAATTGCTACAATTTGCCACCATCATCATTAAATTTTAATTTTCTTGCACTATCTAGGCACAGTTACGTGCTATAAACATGTTTTTATATCTTTAAATGGCGTTGAGAATACTAATGCATCTTCTTTTGAACATTTATTCCCTAAAAAAATCCATTAAAACCACAATCAATTTAAACTCAGTCTTTAGCTGCCATCTTTGCCACCACAGGGGTGTTTATTGTGAAAATATTGCGTTCCTGACTGGCTGCTGCCGCTTAGAATTGTTCCCCCGTTTTGAGCGAGACTGAATCTCAGCAATTCAAATTGCAGCACGAAGATCTAGGGAAACCTAGGGAACAACTCGCCAGCAATGGAGAAATTGCTGGGAAAACTGCCCGCTCTAAAGCAGGCCTTAGGCCCGCTTCAGACGGAGCAATTTCACCCAGCAATTTGACGTCGCAATACCAGCAACACCGGCCGCCCGCGTTCACACGCAGCAACCGAATTGCTTTGACTTGCTATCATCATCATTAAATTTGATTCTTCTTTAACTATTTAGACGCCCAGCTACGCGCTACAAACGCGTTCTTATATCTTTGAACGGCGTTGAGAATACTAACTCATTTTTCTGAAACTGTTTATTTCCGAAAACGATCCATTCCAAACCAGAACTAAGTCTTTAGTTGTCCTCATCACCATCACAGGAGTGTCACGTGAAAATATTGCGTCTCCGATTGGCTGCAGCCGCTTCAACCGTCTTCGAATTGCTCCGAGTTGCTCGCTTGTTCGAGGCGGACCCGATCTCAGCAATTTGCGTCGATCTAGGGAAAGCTAGGGAACAACCCGCCAGCAACCTCAAAATTGCTGGAAAAGTTGCCCCATCTGAAGCGGGCCTTAGGGCGTCAGCTCACCCAATATAATCTAGCTTTTTCTTTTTCTTTTTAAAGGCGCAATGTGTTATTTTTTAAATATTTATGGGCTTTCATTTTTTCATTAGTACTGAAGCTACCCTATATGCTAACATAGAATGTACACTACATGACAGTCGGTGCAAACACAACATTGGTGCTTTTAGGCATTTTATTTATACAGGGTAAAGTGGAAGACTCATTTTGGCTGTCTACAACACTACCTAGCAGTTTTCATTGCGACCTTTTAGCTGTGAGAGCATATCAGGAAGCACTGGGGACTGCATGTTTCTGCTAACTGTGCCACACTCTGCACTATACAGTCAAGTTCTCCATGCCCTTGCAAGTTGCACATAAGTCATCAAAATAAGGACACAACAATGGTGACGTTTGCAAGCTTTATGACTCAAAAGCTATGGGGGCCATTTTGTGCCGGTAAGGACACAAGGGAAGATCTCCAAAAAGCGGTTGGTGACTGCAGGGTGTAAAATGTACCAGCTGCCATTTAAAAACCTCAAAGCCCCAATGTGTTTTTAAAAATTGTGATGTTTTAAGAAAACTGTAAGGTGGCAAAAAATTGTCATTGAGCCATTTTCCAAATACTTTTTCAACACTCAAAATTCCACCGATGACCAGTAACAAAAGACGGTAAACACTTACAGCTCTAACACCAGAAAGATGAATGTGGTGGACTCAAACACGTCGTGCAGTTCGACTGGAAAACCACAAAAGTAGAAGAGTGAACATGTTGACTTCTCACTTATCACAAACTTTTCAAGACGGACATGTGTAAGTGGGCAACCATGACAAGGCACTGAACAGGGGTAATACGGTTTGCATGCAAGTCAGCTTGCATGCAAATTGTGTGCAATTCATGCCTACTGGCCCGAGTAGAAAGTAGGGAAACAGCTTTGTGGACTACCTTTACCTAGGTATCTAGCATTTACCAACACAACTATCTGCGACACTTCCACCGCGCACAAATACACACAAACGCAAGCTTGTGCATATTTGTGAATCAATGTTGTTCAGAATGAATCTGCAAAACAGTGGCAGCTCGTTGCAACTTTTGTGGCCCTGTATTCTTGTACAAAGCCGTGCATGGCAGAATAGGTTGTACTAGTCTCGTTTCTCTGCTGTTTCAGTCTGCCTTTCAATTAAACAGTTGCGATCCTAGAACATTCTATGCATGACGCCCCATGCTCACCTTCCCCGTCTTACGGCTTGAGAGCAGTTTCAACGTGCCCAGTGTTGTTGTAGATAATATCAGAAATGAGCATGCATTAAACAGTTCCCAAACCCCTTAATTGCGTCAACCTTGTGTTTTGTCTGTTTGTAATTTTTGTGAATGTGTCTGTGTGTATGTACCAATCTGGGCTACCGCTGATTCTGTACACAAAATCAATAACCACATAAAAGCATAGACACCAGTGGCACATACTTATGTATGGATGACCTGCCACCTTGCGGAGAACTTCAATCTCCCTCTTAGTTGCTTGGTAAAGACTAGTTGGCCCGGCGCCTTCGGTGTCCGAGCTGATGTCTATGATCTTGGCCGCATACTCCCGCCCCGTTTCCTTGTGGATGCATCGTCTAACTGTACTGCTGACGCCCCTGAGAAACGTAAAGGAGAGCGTCATCGTAGTAGAAGAACGGTGCACATGTTGTCTCTATTTACAGCAATGCCTACTCATAAATGCCCATTTAAACTGATAACACCTGACAAACATGCACATTTTCCACTGTGGTGGGACTGAAGACACTAGACAGATACAGAGGCCTGCATTTATCTCTAGTATATGTGGCTATCTTTGTTTGTTCACATTTAATGCTTAAGGTCAATAACCTGATAAGGTTACACCTTTCATGACTCTTCTTTTGTAGAAGAGCATGTCACAGATTTAATTGGCATATGCTGCACTATTTTACTGTTCTGAAGGCTATTCTTTATAACTGTTTACTATAAAAAAAAAGGTGAACTTGTGAGACATAGGTGGATAACACCCTAGGAGTACACTTTCAAACGGTGAAGCAGCACCATAGCACACGAAATCGCAACTTCAGGCTTTAGCAGCTTGCGCCTGACGTCACACCGCGATGCCCCGCCCCCGATCGCCATTGCTCCGTACCACCGGAGGACCTACAAAGTGTAGTCGACGGCGTGTTTCGTCCGACCGTGACGTGTTTACGCAGTTTAAGAGTGTAGCCTTTTTTTTTTTTTTCTTTTGTTGTGTGCGTTTGTTGTTTTTCGCACAATTTGCAAACAAATCGTTTTAATCTATTTTTACCAGCGCCTATGGGCTAAATATGCCGTCGCCGGAGGAGCAGACGTTGCCGCTCTGCGGAGATTACTTTGACGAGCTTGTTGGGCCTACGAGAGCGAGATACGCGAAGAAGGTGGAACTCTGCGATGGCGAGGATCCCTACAAACTTTGCGTCGGCGTGGACACGACATTCGACGCCGTCTTTTTCCCTAACATAACTCGCTCAGCCTCGAGCGCTGCGACTCTAGGCTGAGCGATCTCCTTCGTCCGTCTAACCGAGCTTCAAACTCGGCGCCCAGTCAGGGTTTGTGTCATCGAACAACTTAGAAGGAGCTCCTGTAAAACAAAGAAAAAACGCCATTCGCTGACGCGCTCACGTTCGCGAAACTCGGCGCAGCAGACAATGCTGCGCCGAGTTTTACATTCAATGTTGCGACAGCAGCCGGGTGAACGCGTCCCAAAAACGGAGAACGACAAAAAGCATTTCTGACTTGTAACAAAGTGCTCGCTGCACACCCTGTGTTTTCACAATGATCACCAACTCGCCCAACTTTCTACCCTTGTCTGTGTGTTCACGTTCGCGACCAGGTCGGCCCTGTTAATCTTCGCAAACCACATGCTCCTTCGCTTCTTTGACAGTTTGTGTGTCCGCCGACACTGCCGACCTTCGGCAGTTTGAAAAATCTCACATTACTGACGGTGTTATGATCACAACGCTTGTTGCCCTTAGTCCTGTTTGCACAATTAATAACCACACATGCAACCATTCTACGTAGCGAAACGTTCGCTCAGCGAGGCAAACTGACGGCAACTCCAGTGAACTTCCTATGCAGCGATGACGATTTGGTACGGCGTAATGGCGACGGCCCTCCCAGCATGCAATTTTAATGACGTAGGTGCAAGGCATGTAAATGGTGGTTCTTCACTCGGTATTTTCTCTTAATGTATCTAAAGTCTGTGACAGGTCAAGAGCAAAGTGGAAGCTCCTCCCACCTCTTTCCACTATAGTAAAGCGAACGCGGGAGAGGAGCTGACCTCCTTTCCACGGTTCGCTCCGCTGAAGTGGAAAGGTGTGGGAGGAGCTTCCACTTTTAGGGGTGCTATGTTGCGCTTTTTGGATTCCCAGGAGACTAGGGAGAAGGGAGTGACGTCAACGACACAGCAAATGCAGATTGGATATTGACAGAAGAAAACGAAATCAACACCCAATCTGCGTTTGCTGTGTTGTTGACGTCACTTCCTTCTCCCTAGTCTCCAGGGGTGCTATGTTGCGCTTTTTGCACTCCCAGGAGACTTGGAAGAGGGAAGTGACGTCAACGACACAGCAAACGCAGATTGGATGTTGACAGAAGAAAACAAAATCAACACCCAATCTGCGTTTGCAGTGTCGTTGACGTCACTTCCCTCTCCCTAGTCTCCTGGGAGTGCAAAAAGCGCAACATAGCCCCCCTGGGAGTCCAAAAAGCGCAACATAGCACCCCTGTCACCGGCTATAGTGTCCCCTAATTTTTTTTTTCTCTTACTAGGAGTGATCGATAGTTGTTTTCTAAAAGTCAGCGAGTGAAGCGTTTGCGCCTTACCTTCCCAGGATCTCTTTGGGTTCGTACTTGGCATAGAACTCCTTCGCCACATCCTTGCCCGGCAGATCGTCCTCTTGCGTTCGTGGGTGGACCATTTCACCTCTTTGTTGCTTCCTTAAGCGCTAATTTACCTGCGAAGATAACGATTACATATATTTGTCCGGTAGTACGGTCCTGGAGCGATCAGCTGAGTGTTCGGGCTGGCTTCTTCTTTTTCCTTCTCCTCAATGCTCGGTAAGAAATCTTATGTGGGTAGATTGTGATACCACCCGCGAAGTCAATGCACAAAGCCAAAGGAGAAACAAATCATAAAAAAAAGTTGTACGGCGAAAGTTCCCTGGAGCTAGCTTCGCGTGCCGAGCAAAAATGAGCACGGCTCAAAGTCGGTCGGTGTTTAGCAGCCACCACATTTCGGGCTCTTGGAGCATTGTTAAAGACCCAAATATAGCGCGAATCGAGGACAATGGGTCCGACCTCTAGCCGTGACCGTGAAAAAAAATAAGGCGAGAACTTAATTGGCGGGCTAGAAATTAGTTGGCCAGCTGAACGAGGAAGACTGGGCTGTTTATTTTTCTCTTCGCACACGCTGCCGAAGAACGCAGCTGCACGACTGTACGGGAGACAGAGTAAAAGGGAAAGTCGAGCTGTGACGATGTAGTTACCTTGAGTAATTCGGTGCTCTCAGATCCGATCCATGCTATTTTTGAAGTTCCATCGGACGAGGAGGCCCCTGATCTCGGGACGACAACAAACACGCACCGCATCCAGTCTCCCTGACGAATGGGTCCGTGCGTTTGAGAGTAGACGCAATAAAAATGAAAATATAAACATAAATGGGAACACTATAGGACTGTAGTTTGGTTTTGCGCGTGTAGATGGCGCAAAGCGCTCTCTCTCTCTCTCTCTCTCTCTCTCTCTCTGCCTCTCTTGAGTCGCGCATGCGCAGATGTCCTCTAGGCATGTTTCTGAAATGGAGGAGGTGTCAGGTTAATATCAAAATTTGCTTTTAATTAACCGGCAGTGCCTAACTAACATCGAGCTAACCCCGCTTCACTAACACACTGGGATAACCGTGGATTTTCAACTTGACAGAAGAGGAGGTGCCATTGGTATGCGCGAGCTGTCTAAATGTGATTGAGGACGACGAGTTTCTGCAGGCCCTTCACACCGAATGGCACACCGATTGTTTTAGGTGAGCGCATTTCTGATTCACAGTAATCACGCTCTGTGCGGGTTCTTGCGCGCTTGAGTTTGGGGACGATCAGACGGCGTCCCAACAATCCTGCCAGACCGTACGGTACCGGGAAATTGGAGCGGCAACTTTTGTGTCTGTGTGTGTGGGGTGGTTCGCGTTTCGCAACCCCGCTCCGTCCGTCCTAGCTTTCTGTGAATCGGCGTACGCTCTCGAAATCAAACTGTAGGGGAGGTCGCATAGCAGAGTTGTTGTATAGCTCTCGCTCGCTCACTGTCAGGTCTGTTCTTTTATTGTGCGTCTTTGGTCATTTCTCTCGTCGAAGCAAAGTCGCTTCTTGCCGAAGTGCCCGTATCCCGTCTTGTATCGGGGCGCCCACAGAAGAGGGGCAACTCGGTTCTACCTCAAAGATTACCCTTCTTCCATCTTTTTTTAAAGCGAATATAGTTTTGCATCGTACGAATCGATCAGCAGGAATCAGAGACCTAACTGCACATTGTTCTATTATACAATAATTGTGTTGCACGGTGGACGGTTACTTCGAGCATCCATTCCCTTTAAATTGGCCCGTTGAAATGCGGCCAAAGCGATTCGTGTTTGGTAGCGCAGCATTTTCGTTGAATTTTTATCTATCATAATAAAGTTGGGTTAAAAAGCAAAGTTGCACTATGTGCGGAAACGCATTTCGCGCTACCACCCAAGAGCTGCGTAGATTTGTGAGTCATCTCGACAGCTTTATCGATTGGGAAGTTCTGTCGTCGAACCGCGGGTTGATTAGCGGAACGCGTCAAAACGCCAACCAAGATTGTTTTTTTTTTTTTTTTTTCTTGACGTATTGTGTACCGCATTTTACCATCTATCTTCCCTTCGAAGACACCTTTTTTTTTTTTATTGATTAATGGATACTTCATTTATTGGAAGCCTCGTAGGTGTATAACAGCTAGCTCTCTTTTGTGTAGTACATCATAGAAGCGGATTAACAATAGAAAATCAAAGTAGCCAGATATCAAATTCTGTACGGAAGGCAGAGGTGAAAATGAAGATCACGTGTTCATTTTGGTTTACGTTCCATACGCATGAAGAGCCTCTGTTTTGTTGTCAGCAGACTGAACATTATATCTACAGATCCATACATACGAAGTTGACTCATGTGCATTTTGTCGCCCTGCAGGAGTGCAGATCAATGGTTAGGTGCTATAAAAAGCCTGAATTTTATGGGACAGCAAGTTCCGCTCTGTTTTGTGCCAACACGTGAATGCAGCTACAGCTTTAATTCTGGCACGCAGACGATCCGTGGAGAGCATTTATCATCTTTATTATCATCCGTGTTTTCGGTTTGGGAACCAGCTATGTGGGTAGAAAACGAAGGAGAGGAGGACACTAGAGTGTGCAGGGACGTCGGAACACCAAGATGTGGTTGGAATGATCAGCGGGTAGACACGAAGCTTGCCGCCTCTGTCTCTGCTCACACTTCGAATGCGAATGTGGACGCCGGCATTTGACTTTTGGATGCGTTCAAAGAGTGAGCAGAGACAAAGGCGGTTAGCTTTGCGTCCACCCGCTAATCGTTCCAACCAGGGCACTGTGTTCCGATGTCCCCGAGCACTCTTGTATCTTCCTCTCCCTCAGTTACTACCCATACGATCTGGGACAGGGAAAGAACCCACTAGAAGCTCGTTGCCTTCTGCTGGGCTTTGAATGGTAGGTTGATTGGGGTTTCACGGTACAAGGGCTACTACGACCAAAATGAGCCATGCCAGGCTTTGGCTGTGCAACAAGCGTTATCAAAGTCAGAAAGCTTGTGCTCGAAGTGGAGCATCCACTTGCTTCTTAACCTACCACCGACTATAGATGCTTTTATGTTAGAATGTTTACGGTGGTTGTATAGCTTTTACAGCACCTGCTCGGTAATGCGAAACAAAATGTGGAAACATTTGGAGCTGAACTGATGGGCAGTTCTAGCAGTTTGGGGGTGAGCTTTTGGGTTAGTCAGTCTATCTGCCATAAAAAAAAAAAAATTATGTGAACAGGTTGTAGGAACTACACTTGGTTTCACTTTACAATGAACTGCGGCGTACGCTGCGACCCATCAGAGCCGATCCAGTGCTGTGAACCTATCGCGTGATTCCGTGCCCCTTCCGAAGGTCGCGCGACAACCGCACAGCATTAAATTGGCTCTGATGGCTGGTAGCGTCTGCTGCAATTCATGATGCGGTGAAACAGAGTGAAGGCAGCTAAAGTTTCAGGTTGAAATGAAGCATAGGGGGTACCTACTTCCAACAAACTGGGGTAGAATTTTCCCATTCTGCACCATAGATCCTCTCATTAATACGAGTCCCATAGCAGCCTGAGCAGCAGCTTTACCCACTCTACACGTTATGCCTTCGCAAAAGTGCACTGCGTGACACTGTTAACACTGACGGGACTTCGGCGCTTTGCTGCAGTTTACTTCGAAAGAGTATTTACTGTATTGACCACTTAGGTTAGTAGAACTTTCCACCATTATAGTGGTTTTGGTGACAGTCCTTAGATACAGTGAAACTCGTTTAGAACGAACCCACATACAGCAAATTATTGTCGATATCGAACTCACGGTAGACTTTAATGAAAATCCATGTAAAAAGTACTGTTTATAACGAACACCATATTGGCTATATCAAACTTTTCCTCCCCAGGAAAGCTTCCCAAAATGTGCATACAATTGTCTTCTAACCTGTCCCTCGACCCTCCCCCCCCCCCCCCCCCCCCCCCCAAAAAAAAAAAAGTAGTAAAGAAAGAAAATCCCAAAAAGCTCAAGCCGCGAACAAAATTGACAAAAGAGAAGCGATTCAGAATGGGAGAAATCTAAAAAAACGCTGCACGCATGCACAGAAAAGAAAAAAAAAAAAACTTCATCACTAAGTGGCTGCCTGCATGCACGCAAAAAAAAAAACAACCTTTTTAGTGCATTTTTACAAGGTGGAAGCGAAGAGATGAGAAAGAAACAGCAGCCCTCGCCTTACAACAAATGCGTCGTGGAAGTTTGTTGTCAATGGTTTTTGCTATATCGAACTGATCGTAGCGTTTCCTGCTGTTCATTATAAACTGGTCTGACTGTCGTTAGAGAAAAAGTAGAGAAAACTTGCCAAGCCTCGTTTGTGCTAACAGTGTCATGGACTGTACATTGTAGGTATTTCGTTACTTGGCTTAGAAAGGTCGATTAAAAATAGTAGACGTGATTATAGTTACTCCCATGGTAACATGTCTCATGCAAGAGAGAAAGAAACATCAAGTACAGGTGTAGCATAGGCTGTTTTCAGAACCCACGCCTCACTTTAAAATTGGCGCCCCTCCCTACCTTGGATGAAAATTTTACATCACTACATCTAAAATTTTCATCCAAGGTGTGTTTTAGTGGTACTTTGCCTCGTGAAATTTCAAGGCACGGCTCTCTCACTGTAAGAAAGTGAGACAAACACCCTTGCCGTGGCCAACGACAATGCAGACAATCAAGTTAGTGCTTGTGGCGCCGTCTCTCCATAGGTTTATGAGCAGACATTGGTGAGGTCTATGCGCTGCTCCTGTCGGGAGATGGTGCTACAAGCACAGTCCTAAATAATTCTAAGATAGCAAGGGTCTTCGTCTCAGGAGTTACGCCTTGAAATTTCACAAGGTAAAGGATGCCACTAAACTACATCTTCAGTTAAAATTTCAGGTTGCTATAGTGTGAGCGCCAATTTTTCTAGCCGATTTTACAGTCAGCCTGAGTATTGAAAACTCCCTATATATGAAACGACAGTGAATGTGCAGGGGAGCTGGTTATAGCTTATTATGGTGTTTAAAACCCGAGACTGTGGTGAGGGAAAAAATAGAAAACTTTGTATTGGAAGAAAAAGGCACAGGAGATGATGTCTCAATTGAGACATCTTCTCCTGTGCCCTTTTCTTTGAAGTTTCCTATGTTTTCCCTCACCACAGTCTCGGGTTTTAAACATTATGAACCCCTATACATGTTGCAACATGACAAATGCAGGAGAGAGACTCCCCTCAAAATATGTTGGAAACTGGGCAGAGCTTTGTCTTTGTGGCCACCAATCTTGAGAAGAGGGCACTGAGGTGATTGCAGGGTGTCTAGCAAACAGGAAGAGCGGATATAGTTAGGGAAATTTTAATTACCGGGAAAAATCGGGGAATTGTTAGGGATATTGTCAAAATTCGAGCCCAGTCTTAGAAATACATTTAACCGCCGCTACAGTGGTCAGAGAATTTCACCTGAAATTGTCAGGGAAAACCTGGAAAAGTAGGGGAATTTCAAAGTAACAATTTGCTAGACACCCTGGGTCGATAGATCGGGTGAGGGCCTAGCTTCCACCGCGCTGTCAGCTTAGGAGTGAACGAGGTATAATGCTTCTCTCTTTTCGTGATGTTAGAACTCGGTGTGTATGTACATACTGAGTGGCATGGTGGCACCATTCCTTCGCTAGGAATTCGTGGGTAAAGCCTCTGCCATCCTTTCATTGCAACAAACAAACCTTTTCTTTTTTAAAAAAGGATGCATTTTCTTTGTCATCATGCTATTACCATGAATTGAATTGGTACAAATGTTCGATTTCAGGAAGGGAATGAAAGTAAAGCTGGTTCAGATGTTTGCCCCTTTCTCTTATGTCTAACTACATCCACTACGACGTGAGACGTTGCATGGACTTCGGTTCCCATAGCAACTTATATCAGCATCTCATTGTAAGCCGTCAAATGCAGCCATTTGTACTCAAAACGCAAATATCTGAATAAGCCTACATGGAGGGTCCTTTGTTTCTGAGTAAAACCCAATATTTCTCAATAATTCACCCTGAACATGTTTCTTGAGAATTGGGTTGAACCCGATTTTTCCCCGAATAAGGAAATGGAATTCCACCATTTTCTAAATTGTTCTGTTCTGAGAATATTTTCTAGGAAAGAGAAGGGCTGGAGGAACATGTGCGCTAGCTCCAGACCTCGGAAAAGTTTTCTTTGGCTTCAGTGAACTGTAGTGACATAGCTAGAGCTCCAAAATGTTGCTTTTACGTATGTTGTGAAGTATCCTTTGCCCCTCCGCCCTTCTCCCCCTCATCTCCCGACCTTCACCCACTTGATTCAAGTGCTTGAAGATCTTGTCACGGCTTGAAGATCTCAAACCACCCCGTTCAAACGAATTGAATCGGATCCGACTCAGTTCAGTGCATTTATCTAGCGAATCGAGGTGTTTATATAGGACGATTTGATACGCTAACTGTATTCGATGCGCTACTGTCGCATTTATGTAAACATAGCCAGAGGTATTGGGCACATTAGTGCCGAAACATCTAGAAAGCCGTGGTCATTGCGAAGGACCTGAAACGAAGGTATCGACGTATGAATCTCTTATCTGCCCTTTACTAAAATATGCTTACGTCCTGTGGGACAGTCGTATGTGGACTGGTTGAAAGGGGTTAAAAAAAAAGAATCTTGGGTTCATTTATAATTTATATGGCGAAGAATGACATCTTTCATCATGTATGCAGCTTCTGCACTGCCTGAGTTATCATGTCGAAGAAAAGTAAAGCGCTTGAAATTTTTGCATAGCGTAATACATAACGATGCTTGTTCAAACTTTGACATCTATCTTCAGCATAAAGTGAGCCGTGACACAAGACAGAAACACGAGAAACTGATTTGTGAGCTTTGTTTAAAAAAAGATTGTTTAAAATGTTCCTTTTTTACACGTACCATTTGCGAGTGCAACAAGTTTCCCCGCAGCGCGACATGTATTGTCTCATTTGCTACATTTTCTAGTGTAATTGATGAACTTATCTTCACTAGAAATGACTCCAAGGACAAAACTGCTGACTCGTTTTACTGAATGTTTATGCATATTTATTTGCTTTGCTGGCTTTTATTTATTCTGCCTACAACCGTGCCTTAGCCTTCAAAAGTTGGCCGGCATTACCTTCAAAATAAATAAATAAATAAATTATAGACTTTAAAACCACTTTACCCTTTATCCACTTTAGGCAATTTCTTCGAACGAATGATTGTGCTCAAACTTTCTCTTTCGTGCAATTCACGCAGAACCAGAGCCACCACGCAAACAATGTAATTTACAGCGTATTCAGGAGTCATACCACCACAACAGCCTAAAAGAATTGTAAATCTTAGGAAGTTTGGTCAGCCTAGAAATATAGGAATATTCGGGGAAGTTAGCTTGAGAGAGTCGAAAATGTGAGGTAATTTGTGACAGTGATAAATTTGTGAGTACATGCTACAGCACTGCATTTTTGTGTTGACATTGTCTTCTGTATTCGAAAAACCTGGACGCATCTTTCGAGAGTTAATAATAATATGAATATCAATGTAAATTCTAGGCAGAAATCTTGTGAATTTTTTTGAAAACCAATGTGGTCACAGTTTGCAGCGATGCATCATTTTTTATAGCATTAGACCTTTCGTGCTTCATTTAGTTGGGGAAATCCACTAAGATGTCGACGCTTGGACCACTTTGAGGTCTTCAATACAAGATGTCCCATTTGGCTGCATGTTGGATATTTCCCATTTTGATTTTTCGTCCGGTCTTCAGTTATTCGTCGTTGATAGAGGAAACAAACTTCGACCTTGTTCCCTGCACGAGCCCTTCCGTAGCCCATTGGCCTCAGGGATTGCGAATAAAAATGTAAGCGGGGGACCGGCGCAACAAAGGGAGGCCCTGTTTGCCTTGGTGTCAGACTTGCGTAGTGCGAGCAAGAGCGTTGTGCACTGCTCCCATTGGGGTCACTACTCAATGCATGAGCTGTTTGCACTCCCTGGGGGATTGGAGCGAGGACATAGTAGCCAGGAGGGCCACAAAGGACAGCTTTCACTCCTTTGGCTCAAATTTGTTTCTTCAAACTTGGTCCTGAGCTGGGTTCTGTCTTAGAGAGTTTTGTTTTTTCTCATTTCTTTCCTTTCTCTTTGAAACGGGGACTGCTACGAAGGGGTTGAAGCAGCACAAAATGCCGTTTGCTCGGCTTACAAGTGTGGAGAGGTTGTCCGGCTCCACCAAGTATTTTTTTGCTTTAGTGTAGAGCTGAGGGGACAGAATAGGCCAAGGGCTTTATCAAAATAAAACTTGTTTTTTAGCGAACACCTCTTCTTATTTTTGCGTAACTGCATTTATAATAGGCTCATGTGAAATCACTGAGGGCTTTCTTGCTACACACTAGGTTTGTATGAACAATAAAAATGGTGAAGAAATATGTTGCTTTTTGTAGCACCGAGTGGCTTTGCATTCTTTTTTAGTCCATATAAACATTGATTGAAGGATTTATTTTTATGTCCATCGAAATTTCAAAATACACCAATATTTTGCTTGATATAGACTCCTGCAAGTTAAGTATGGTTCTCAAACTTCTTGATGGTAAACATGCGTATACAGAAAATTTTATGGATCATCCATCAACATTTAGTTTCTTCTGCGTGCGATACCGTACTCGGGCATACATTGCTTTCACGTGTTGGGCCTTTACGCAACCTTTTCTGATAAATTGTCTGTTTATTTTGATGAACAAGGCATAGCTCAAGGGGGAGAAGGTTTAAGAAAAGTAATCGAGCAAACTTCGGCCTTCAGAAATTAAACATACAGAAATTGCTCGATCTGTGTCGACGGTGTAGGCAGCGACTGATGATAAATCTTCAAGGGAACTGTGTTTGAAAATATTGAAGAGTGCTTTATGCTGTATCGTAAATGTGTGTGGTTTGCAAATCATCACCTTTGGTATCTTTCATTGTGTTCTTGGTTTTGGAAAGAGATCAACATTTCTCTGAAGTTTAAGCAAGTAAGCAGGGGAGCTGGTTAAGGATAGACATTGTAACCCTGGAGCGAGGGACCTTTAACTGCGTTTAGAGTTTTGTGTCTCTCCGTCCGCTTTTCTGTCCCCTCTTTTCAGGTTGCTTGCATGATGGTGCGCTTGCAGGTGTGCTTGTATTACATAAAAAAACATTTTAAAAAATCTTGCGCATTGAGGTAGAAACTTGGGTTCTGCCAAGTAACCTGGAAATAAGAAGTGGTTTATTTCCCCCTCCTACGATCATAGTGAACACCTCTTTAATGCAGTAGTCAGTTCGTCCATCCATACGCTGTGTTGCAGAGTGCCCCGAGATTTTATGGGACTGTTGTTACTTAACAGGTGTTGTCACTGTTGAGTATTTTCAGTGTTGTCACTTAACTAGCTGGTTTTTTTAAAGCAACCTTGGCGATGTGTCTGATGGGAGTTTGGTTATTGCGAATGCAGGTGCTCTGTGTGCGATGTGTCGCTGAACAGTTGGTACTTCGAGAAGGATGGGATGCTGTTCTGCAAAAGCGACTACTTGTCGAGCTACGGCGAGGCTTGTCAAAACTGCGCCAACATCATTACCGGTCCGGTTATGGTGAGTCGCGTTTTTTTAATATTTTTATTACGGAATGCGTCGCGGGGCTGTTTTTGGCCTTTGGAGTGTAACATCATGGCAAGGCGTTAACCCCTTAAGTGCCAATTTTTGTTTTCCAAAAGTAACCTAAAAGTGCCAGATTTTTTTTTTATTTTGAATTGTTACTCCTCTAGTATTACACATAAAATTTGAAACATTTATCACGCAAAAATCAGCGGAGGCAAAAAAAAAATATTTGCCAACTAATACAAGTGCTGCCATCTATGATCAGCGCTGCAAAACTACTCAGACGAGCCGAGCTCGTTCGTGGAATTGAGGGCAACTGAAAAAAACCACTGGACGTGCTGAGCTCGTCCACGGCCTTTTTAGCCAGAAAGTGGCCGACGAGCTCAGGTCGTCCAAGGCACTTAAGAAGGTAAACAAATCAACTGCTTAATTTAGCAGTAAAATGTTACAGATGGCTCAGTCCATATGCGTGTGGTGACATGATGTCATGATGAATGTCACGTGACACCAATTACACCACCAAGTCACGTGACATCATGGTATTACATTGTTATGTCATAATACCTGACGTCACACTGCATGGTCACATGAACACACGGTTTATAGTGGCACCAACCACGCGGTCCACAGTGGCACAGCTATGTGACTGTCATAAGTATTTCGCATACGGGGATTTTATGAAATATGCCCTAAGGACTGCACTAACATATATCCACATAAATAGGGATTGAGCAAAATGCATTCTGCATAATTCTGTCTTATCGCAGGACTAAGCGGTCTGCAATTTTAGGTATGATTATTGACAGAAGAAACCACTCCATTTATCTTTCAACGCTCTAAGCATGCCGGGCTCGACTTTTTTCTTTTTTTTGGCGAAGCAGTGTTTTTTATTATTGCGAAAGTCTATTTAGGGTGTATGCTGGGGGCTGATGTGCAGACATGAGAACTCGTCTGTTTGTGGCTGTGTGTGTCGATGCCCTATTGTGCAACTGAATTCTTTGCCTTTTATTGCAACTTCTGCCTAGTAGGCTGTAATACAAGGCAGAGAATTGCCTTGTATTGCAACCTACTAGGCTGAAATACAAGGAAATTCTCTGCCTTGTATTGCAGCTTACTAGGCTGCAACACATGTCTTACTGGTGCCTTGTCTTGAATCGCAACTGTGGAATGTACAGGGTGCAGTGATGCAATTGCTGCGCGAAACTGCGCCAGGGGGCTAACCCTGGAACATCCTGCTACATTTTGACAAAATATGGGTAATCTGCGCCAAGCCTGCGCCAAAGGACCAATTTCGGCCGCCTTTCAAAACCGAAACTAAACTGAGTACCGTAATTGAGCACGCGTAAGCAGCCGACCAACACAAAGTACCCTGCATGGATCGTCCATTGGTCTTGCATGGCTTTTCCCGCCGTCTCTCGTCTTGCGCTCTCGTCGTCTCGCATCTATTTAGAGAAAAACAAAAAACATTTCAACGATAGACGCGGACGTGTGCGGTCAGCCATGCCGTCATGCTGTGAACCACGTTTTTGCGCGGCGGGATTTATTTTGTGAGCTGAAGCACTCACTCCTAAAAGAAACGGCCATGCGAAAACTATATTTGGTTCCTGCCTGCGAGTCACCGTGGTCGTGCAACGTCGGGTGTTGTCGTCCCCACATCACTGGAAATATGGCGCTTTTTGAACTGAAACATAAGGACAGCCGCATGTTCATCAAAATTCCTGTTCTTGTTTAAATTATACGCTACTACGAAAATTCCTCTTTAGCTTAAAGACTGCTATGTCGAAGTATTGATTACTTAGGTTTTTTTCGGTGGGCTTTCTTTCAAGAGGATATGACTGCGTTATATCCTTCTAAAAAGAGTCGATTTAGTGGTTTTCCATAACTCTCAGCAAGCTTCTCCTAGTACGTGAAAAATGTGCCGCGAAAGAAAGATGGTGAAGAGAAGTGAGCTAAAGCAAAGAAGGCAATGTCTTCACGTTGAACCCGCACAGCGCGCTTGTTCGTCTCGAGTTCAGTCGTTGCACAAAGGGCTCCAAGAACTTCTTCACCCTGCCTCACGATGTCTTGCATCGATGCATGCACTCAGGTTCTTTTCTTTCTGTGTGTTTAGATTATACTTTGCCTGCCGGCCTAGCAAGCACGCGCCGCTGGACTGTTTCTTGTTGTACGCTGGACAGTTACATTTTGTATACAATTTTGGGAACCAGTTGGCGACGGAGCGGAGTGAATGGTCTCCGCTCGCGCGACGAAACACGTGCAACTGCAAGCCTGCCGAACTTCCCTTCACGTCCATGCGAACATGATTGTACGACAGAGGCACCAGCCGGGACGTTTGCTTACTTTTGATGAAAATCTGGCGCGTAGGGAACCAGTAAAACGGTGGCAAGCGGTTTTCCGGAATTGCTCGGCAATGTCTACAGCACTGTACACTAGTGGGATGTCTCAATGTCTATTTGGCGACATTGAAACGGGCATTCATTACTAGCCAGAGGCAAAGCTAGGCTTGCAGCAGCCTTGCAAAATTTCAAAAAAAAAAAAAAAAAAACACCCACTAGTTGCAATGCATGCTTGTCTTGTGTACAATTTCCCATTGCACTGCAGCAGTTACGTGTTTCATCAGTCGGAGACTACTTCCATTAATTATATTATATAACTAGTCAACCTAATGCTGTGATATTTGCTACTAAGGTGGCCATTTTCAAATAAATTCTGATGTGTGAAGTGTGGTTTTTATCTATAGCGGGTACATGTATCTTTTAAAGGCTGACAACCAGATTCGAGATTCTGCAAGGCAGAAGATCCTCCTCACCATGGGGGAGGAGGAAACAGGAAACGGTGGACAGGGTAGAAGGGGGAGAGGAGGAGCAAGCGAGGGAAAAGTGTAAAGTGCGAACTGGTCGTCGGCCTTTAAAATATGTGCCATGTCATTGGCATTTCAATGTTACATGTTGAAAGACTCCTAGGGGGTCTAACTTGACCGTAATTTGTTTATTGCGGCGAGCAAAGTGCCCTTTGTTTGTCCAGCACTTAAGACAAATATTTTTATTTTTCTAAAAATATCTGTTCCAAATGCCACTTTTGCTGCTCCGAAACACCATTTTGGCTGCTCCAAAAGCCACTTTTGCTGCTCCAAAACACTGTTTCGGCTGCTCTGAGAGCTGCTCCTAAATGAATTAAGCGTATCACATCACTGAGGGTGCAGAAAATTAACTGGTTAAAATGAGTTCAAGGCAGAGTGGTAAAAATGCCATGCAGGGAGCCTCGGGTGCGTTAAACTGGGGGGTGGGGGGCAATGATGATGATGATGATGATGATGATGATGATGATGATGATGATGATGATGATGATGATGATGATGATGATGATGATGATGATGATGATGATGATGATGATGATGATGATGATGATGATGATGATGATGATGATTAGAGGAACAGTTATTTAAATCGGCTTCAAAATTCAAAATTTTCCTAAGGCCCTCTCAAATCACCTATGCACGTGCCTATCAGGAATAAAAACACAGGAAATGATTTGGAGAGCATCTCCTGATAATGGGGGGTGCATTTACTTATGGTGGTTATCGTTAAGGTGATTGGCTCTTTATTTCTCTTGTCCAATATTCAATTGGAAATGAAACATGTTTTTATTAGCATGAATAAATTTGTCTCTATGAAGCTCACATAACTGCTTGAGACCGACACGGGAGGACGATACTTGTTGTTGAGCCGATCTGCAGGAACACAATCTTTGGTTTGCTTTTTGGCAGTGTGAAACACTGTCGCAGGGTATGCTAAGAATGGCATTGTGTTCGCATGATAGATCTGAAGGCAAACACGCAAAATGTTCAGAAAGACAGAGATTCTGAATGGTATTCTTCAAAGGATGCTGATTCATGATGCCATACTGCAAAAAGAAATACATAGAGACGTAATGTAATGATATTCCTAATTACCCATAAATAGCACAAAGGAGAGAAAGATTTTTGTACTCTTAAGGGGGCAGTGCAACGATTTTCAGACTTTGGCCAATTAACTGCGGAAATTAATCTGCGTCACCTATGGAACAAAAAAAACGAATGCCGCATTTTCTTGCGAGCGCTAGTTCTTATTTAAAAAAATGAAACAAATCGAAGGTCGAAGTGCCTCTCAACTCTCCACACCGACTTTCGAGTGACGTCTCTGGGGGTTCACATGGTTTCCTCTTGGGCCCTCTCTTCAGAGACCGCAGCCGCTTCCTCCGCGATTGTCGACTTTTGAAGGATTAGCCTCGTCGAAGGTCGCGGCGAGCGATGAACACAAAGGGCGGTTCGCCATAAGGCTGACGGCAAGTGTAGCAGCGGAGGGGGACAGGATTTGTTGACTTCCGCGTATCCCACAGAGACGCCGTCATTTTAGTTCCCGTAGCCGCCACTGGCGGCTGCAGATCGGCAAATAATTTGTTTTTTTCCTTGCGATTACGCAGCAGAATGGCCGTTTTTTGGGGAAAAATGACGCGTTTTTGGTCACTTGGGCTTGTATAAACAATATAAAAAATGGAAACTGGCAATTCTTTCAACATTAAAACCGTTGCACTGCCCCTTTAATATAAATCACATTTGGTCATCAAATTGCATAAATTAGAAACTTCGCAAAATACTGCCTCGGCACGGTAATGTCATGCAGTCGAACCTTGTCAATTCGAACTTGAGAAAGACAGAAAATTTGTTTGAATTACCAGCACTTTCGTCCCATACGGACGTATAGGATGGGACCTGCAGGTTAGTTTGCATTAAGAGAGTTTGAATTAACGAAATTCGACTGTATTTGATTTTGCATGCACTTGTTTTGGGCCCTCACTTTATACCTCTGTGCTTTATCAGTCATGCGCTCTAGCATTTATTAAACTGCCGTACGTCCTCACATAGGACTGCTATATGTACTGCACAACTTTACCATTTCGACGTCTACTTTTGCTAGTGTTGCGAACATCGCATTTCACCAGAAAACTGGACTGTTTAACATGGTTTGCAAGTGAAGTCATCGCACTATATTATGATGTCTTTACGATTTTTTCTTGCCGAGAAAACGAAATCCGGTGGTGCAAAATTCATGCCGCAAAAGGTTCGCACTCAGTGCAAGTCTTGTGTATTTGAGATACACATTTTTTCTTGGAGTAGCACCGTGAGCAACAGCACAAGCATCTGGCACCATGAAACGTGCTGTCTGGCAAGATTTTTTTTTTTTTAAAGTAGTTTTTGGGTTACTTTTTGTGGTCTGTTCCAAAGATGCAAAGCAGATGCACCTTTTCAACACAAGGCACTCCCCCCTTTTTTCTTTTTTTGTTTGTTTGGGGTGTTAATTTGACAATTATATCTATGTAACCTGTTAAAAGTAATCCTCCATTGCTTTTAGTTTGCACCAAAAAAATATGAAGTTTAAACAAGATACAGAGGTGGTAGAAGCTTGGGGAAGAACTTGATAATGACATTCCTGTGAGACTTAGAGCGGCTGCCAACGTCCGGCTGTCCCTCTGAGACCACTAGGACCTTTCTTTTCAGGTATCCCTCCCACACACACTAGTAGTTCTATGTATCGTCGGATTCAGGAGACAGATTGAGTCCTTTTAATGTTTCTATTCTCCGGGTAAACTTTCTGGTGCAGTTCAACAACAATGAAAACAGGTTTGGGTGCCTCAGTGAGGAGGGCATCTAAAATGAGTCATTCAACAATTTTTGTACTTTCAGTAAATACTGCTAAGACCTAACCCCTGACGTTTATAGCTTGCAAAAAGGCCCATAAGTTTTTCTCCCCATGCAATGGCAGACGCAGCAAAAGTAAAGAAACAGCTTTTCCCTCAACAACTCGCAATGAGAGTAAGCTGTCACAAGATATGACTCTACCGTGTTTACTCGAATAATAGCCACACTGTTTATGAAGAAAACCTGAGGGTTCACTTCTCCGCAGAGCACGCTGAATGCCAATCACCGCGATCGACAACATGACTCCAAAGGTTTACAGGACAGAGATAATGTCTGCGTGCGAAGATACCATCTGTGAAGGTTGCATTTCTATGGAGAATCGTGTTCTCGATCTAATTATTCACTGTTATTTATGCGCAACGCGATGATTGGCTGTATATGTGCTTTGCGGGAAAGTAGAAGCAAGGACATTGTTCATAAATAGTGTGGCTATTACTCGAGTAAGTACGGTAATTATATACTGTAACCGTTCATTGTAGTCAGCTCTGCTATTCTTGTCATGGATTGAACACCAGCCATTACCCAAATGTTTGGTGATACTGATTGTCATAAACCCGAGCTCTCATCTCAGGCTTAAGATAGTCGAGTATGTCACGGTATCATGTGCCTCGGGGTGCGAAGTCGTGATGTCATGTGACGTCACTGTGTCAGCAACGCTAGTAAATCTAGTGACGTCCTCAATTTACGTTGACTCGAGGTAGTGAGTTACGTGAAGACGTCGCATCATGTCACTGGGTCGCGTGGCGCGACATCACTTGGCAACATAGCATGTCTTGAAACCGTGACGTCACATGATCATGTGACACATGATTAATTATAGTGCCAATACAGAAGCGCCACGAAAGCCCACATCTTCTTATACATTTCAATTCTGTACATGATGATTTCATCAATACATAACAACACAACTGGAATTTTTTATTCTCAAATATTAATTTTGTGATACTAAGAAAAAAAAAATACCGTGAATTGTTTTCAATCGGTTATTGTTACATTTTTTTCTGGTTCAATTCCAAGATGGCGGCAAAGATTGCAGTTCAGTTTCGGTTCGGCTAAAAATAATGGTTTGGTTCCCGTTTTTCGGTTAGGTTCCGGTTTCACACTCTGGCCTGTACACTGCTGCACTAATTTATGCTTGTCAGACATTTTATTAACGTTGCTACATAGTAGGATTTCAAACAAAAATTTTCAAGTAACCCCTTTTACGGGCCTTTCTTAAATTGTCTGTCTATTGCCACGACGTAAAACCGGGGGTTTTGTTTCATGTCTGCTTTTTGCATCTGAATGGCATGTCCTTTGCATGGTTACCAACTCACCCATAGCTGAATATAAAATTTATTTTTGCAACCTTTGGTCTAATTTGCAGCTTGTATCATATGGCTGTTTTAGTAAAATGTTTTATTCTTTTTTGTACATTCTTTAAGTCATCCTGAGAGATAAAAAGAAGTGGCAATATTATATTCGTCATGACAGGCACGTCATAGTGCCTATGAACTGGTTTGTGCATGACACACTGACCTCATTTATGTAATATAGCCTGTTTAAATATGTTGTTTTCACTTGTTCTCGTCACAGGAAGTGACGACTAGTGTTGACTGTTCAAAGTTATTTTCTTCTATTGTTGGAGTATAGTGTTTCAGTTATAGTTTTCCTTCTATTGTTTTTTATACACGTATTATAGGCCTAATGGGCAGTATTGTTTTGGTTCTTTTTTGCTTTCTGTTGTATATTTTATGTGAACTTGGGGACCTGTACCCCATACTTGTGTCAGCCCCTGTTAGGGGTGAACAGTACTCATAAATAAATAAATAAATAAAGCGCGGCTACCTTAGCCTAGGTGTGAAATGCTGTTCTGATTTTTGGAAGTTTTGAGTGTCAAGTGGCTTGTCTGTTTCATTCACTGCAGGTTGCAGGGGACCACAAGTTCCACCCCGAATGCTTCTGCTGTGCTAGCTGCAATGCGTACATTGGTGACGGCGATTCATACGCCCTAGTGGAACGGTCCAAGTTGTACTGGTGAGTCTGCGTCTGGTGGCAGACCATCGCACCGGAACGGTTAGGGCCGATGTTGATCGACGAGTCACAAGATTTCCTCTTTCTTTTTGGGGGTGGGTGGGAGTTGGTTGGTAGGTTGGTTGTTGTTCACCCTTTATTTTTAAATTTAGCTCCTTGTTTAATCTTGAGGGGGAACACTGGTTTTGGAGCTTTTTTCTTTTTTTTATGACCGAACCCGGTAAAGCTATATTACTTCACCGCGACAGTTTGTAGGAGACAACCACCCTTTACCGATTCCCTGAGCGGATGACTCGAACGAATTTCCCCGTTTATTTTGTTTCACTTTCGCCCGTGGATTACACTTCATAGCAGACAAGCCCCGTTTTTCGTTTGTGTTAGCGGACAGACCGTCTGCAAATGTCGTCGTATCTCGCTCCTCGGGAGCCAAGCTAGATCTCGAGACGACCAAAACGGGGCCCCCTCTCCCCGTCGTATCCCCAGCGGCTCTTGCTACAAGCACCACATGAAGCCGCTGTCGAAGCACACCGCCCTGGGCAAGCAGCCCCACAGCATCCAGCTGCTGGAGATCCCCGTGGGAAGCACCAGCGCCCGCAGCATCAAGCTCAGCGCCCCCTGCTTCGGGATACACGCCGGGGTACACATCGCCGAGTAAGTCCCTTTTCCCCTTTCTCGAGTCAGTCCGCGAGATGGACTTCCGCAACAATCGGTTACCGCGGCATTTGGTCCCTAAGTGGCAACGAACAACGTCGCGGAAGCCGGAGAGTCACGCCGTCGGAAGTTGCAATCCCGGTGGTTGGTTGTAGAAGTCCCGGCAAAGAACGGAAGCAGAGGCTAGCGTCGCCGTCGTCGTGGCATCTTAACTCCCGGCTGCGAAAATTTCCATGTGCAGCAGAACACTACTCCAAAACCATTGTGGAAGAATAGGATGATACAAGTTCGAAAACAACTGCGTCTTATACTAAAAGGTTTCCCCCTCTTTGGCCAATAGACCTTTTGCCGGCAAGCCTCCGCGCATGCGAACGGCCTCTCCTCTGGCTGTACCTCCCGCCATCGCCATTTTCGGAGCGCCTTTCTTTGTGCGTATTTTGTCTTCTTTGCCACCTCTTTCTCGAGCGTTGGTTGTGTGGGGTAAAGCTCTGCACGGGGCTGGGCCCACCCGAAAGCCCAAGCTGGGTAGGACAGATTGTTCCTGGCCCAGGCTAGGGTTGGGCATAAAAACACTTTCTAAAACGCTGAGAAGAAAATGCTAATGCATTGATCGTTTAGATTTGAAAGAAACGATAAAAGCTAAAGTGCAAACTCGCTACGACGCCACAAAAAAAAAATCTTAGAAATAAAGAAAGCTGTCTTGAACTAAGAAAGCCCACAAGAGGATACGGAGACGAATCCTGGAGGTTCCATCAGCATCGTGGAACAGCTGCCAGCAGGCAAGAAAACCAGGGCAATCCGGTCACAGGAGTCAGTACGATTGTCTTTCCCTTTTCTTTTCAAACTCTCGAAGTAAGAAAAAACGCCCTCTGGCTACCAGAGATAACCCGTGTCTTTTATATTTGTGTAATCTTTCGAAGGTTCACCATGTGACTGCGACATGAGGGCGTCTTTCATGCAAATTAGGCCAAACGAACCAAATGCACCAGTAGCTTTGCAGAGCAGTTTTGTATTTAAGAGATGAGCCGCACATCTTGGCCTTTCGCCGGGCCGGGACCGTGCAGGGCTCGAGTGTGGGGCATAAAAGGCAATGAAAATCGATACAGCAGCATGGTGCCATTGTGTTTAGACAGCCAGAGGCAAGTTGGGCCGCCCTTCGTTCATAGTTTGCGGACAACCCCCAAGATGGCACTCGTTGCTGGGTGAGGTCCATTTACGACTGATATAAACATCCGACGTCATTCCTACATCTTTTGATCTTTTTGTAATGACTGCAGAATTGGGATTTTCCACGGCCATTACAAAGTTTCAGTTTCAGTGACAGTTTTTAACATTTTTTTATGACCACTCCTATGGTTCCCTGAATGAATCTAGTAGTATTCCCACAAAATGAATAAAAACTTGGCAGCAACTCTTATTTCTAAAGTTTCATAATGTGGGGAAAGCAGCCTTAAAAGGCAATTGTTTAAATTTGTTCAGAAGATGTTAAACATTGCATTACATTACGGTGTCACAAGGCCCCTTGACATCACGTAACCAGACATCATGCCACATGGCGTCAGTGTCAAGTCATGGTGTCGCATCACACAACACCGTGACATGGCGACGGGGCGTCGGTGTCAAGGTGTGTTGTCACGTGACATCAGATGACCTGACGTCTTTCAAAGTTGTCATTTGGTGTGACATTGCATTACGCCACAACTTGTCATCCAACAATAATCGGACCGGTTGTGCCTTCCTGCCCTGCAATTGGCCATGCACGGACAGAGACGGGCAGACATATTTTCAGGGTGTCTACCAACCGAGAATTCTTAGGGATTTTGTATAGTCTGGAAAATCTCAGGGAATACTCAAGGAATTTGTGCTTCTATCAGGAAATTTTTGAAATTTTTTTTTAAAGTGTTACAGATGTATTCTCACAGTCCAAAATTCTTGAGATATCAATGGAATGGGTCAAACGTACAGTCGAGCCCGGTTATTTCACACCCGTGTATTTTGAATTATTGTTTATATGAAACAGTCAAAACATCCCCTAGAAAATCACATTGTTTTTCTGTATCATATGGCCCATAACTCCCATGGCGAGGATGCTAGATGTAGCAAACAAAGACGAAGCATGGCAGTCCTTCGCTTCTCCCGGGGTCGGATTGCACCGGGGGGGAGCACATAGCTCGGGTTCTGGGGCTGGCAGACCGCCAAGGATATGCAGCGAAAAAGCAATTGTATAAAAAAAAAAAAAAAAGCAATAAACAAAAAAAAGTGGAGGATGGCAAAAGCAAGGGGAAGGGCACCCACGCGTCTAGGGAGGGCAGGGAGTGCTCCCTGTTGGAACGGTCGTTGGCCAACCGCAAGAGGGAGACATGGGAGCCAGTGATACTGGAGGCGCGGCTGGTGCGGCAGCAGGGGGGACGGTGCAAACGTTACGTGATTGTGATTGAGACGACAATGCGGCGACTGGAGAACTGGAGAAGGAAATCCTGCGGGGAGAAGGAGTTCCTCATTCCTAAGGACAATTAATGGCTAGGATGCATATGGAGATCCATACTGTAGTTTCTGCCCGTTAAGAAGGCAATAGCCTACAGACGCAAATCCAAATCCAAATTGCACTTTGAACGGCTTATCTTTGTTTACCTTTTTCTTTCCCCGTTATCGCTCCCGTTTTTCTTTTAGAGCGCAGCTCTTAGGCGCCCGTTTCCGGCTTGAACAGCGTTGCCGTCGGCGTAACCGTGAGGTCTCATGACCCCCCTCCCCCCCCTGAGGTCACATGACCTCACGGGGGGGGGGATCACGTAAACCTCAGTTTACCTTTTTTTTAATATTTTATTCGCTATGAATTTTGCTAACCACTCCGCTTTGTTTTCTTTTTGAATCTAGTAAAAGTTACTCGTTACCATTAAAACTGCAGTATGTCGTTCTTTTTATTTTATAACAGGCTTTTTAGAGAGTGACAGCATCTGGCGACATGGTGTCAGCCCGTCTTGACCTAAAACAAAGTTTTGTGTCACTCAGGGAATTTCACAAAGGTACTCGGGGAAAACTTGGAAAACTCTGAGAATTGGAAAATGTCATCTTGGGAGACACCCTGGTTTTTGAGAGTTGTTGTTTCCGTCATTAAGCATTTCATTCTTGAAAAAAGTTAAATTGTTGCGCGACCATGCTGTTTTGTTTTTGGGGAAGCCTAGTAAATCTGACTGATGTTTTGTATCTGCAGCCTGGACATGAACCCTGACCTCATGTCATTGCACATTGGGGACAAGATCCTGGAGGTGAATGGAACTCCCCTCAAGCATCAGTCGCTGGAAGAGGCAAGCACAGTTTTGAAGGCTTTACTCTACGAGAGTTAGAAACTGCAGCAGGGCTAACATCATCGGGCAGTACCATCTTATAAATAGGGTCCCATGTTTTCAGGGTTTATTTTGCTTTAAATTCGGGGTTTATTTTTTAAACTTTACACGTGACACTTTGTGGGGTACATCGGCATCGGCGTTCGTAGCCGTCCATCGTTGCTGCAGAGATGGATAGACCCTTCTCCTCTCCTCGTGGCGCGAGGAGAGCAATGTGGATTCTTCTTGTTGCCCAAGCTGAGAGAAGAGGGCGGACGACCCGCCAACAATGGCGCGGAAACGAGGAAGCATCAGCGGTGCCTCTTTTTTTTTTGTCCGCCAACGACAACTTCAAGACATACATTTTCAAACATTACTCGCATTTTACGAAATCCCTGTTTGGCAGTATCCAGTTGCTACGCGTAGTGTTGGAGGGTTTTACATATAAACTTTCACAGTGTTCGATTTCACTATAAGATCTCAACTCATCGCCTCGCACCTTCCTTCTCCGCAGAGCTTTGTCTCGTTTATCCGCACGCGTCCACCTCTCCGCTCGTTGCCCATCGTCGACATTGCCCCCTCTCTCCATCGTTCAACAACACCGGGAAAACACGCGGCTTCTTCCTTCTCAATGACTAGTTCGGCGGTTGAGGGGATCAAACCTGCAGTGCAATTAATGCTAACAAGTGGGATGGCAAAGTAGGCAATGTCTTTTGATGGACGGACCACGTTAATCATTGTACAATATTTGCAGTGGCACGAATGCAAATAAAGTGTAAACGTAAGGGCGCAACTGAGCTTGTGTTTACATTAGAACCTCAATAATTCGATCTCAGTTTATTTGAAATCCCGGATAATTCGCAAAATTTCTACGGTGCCATGACTTCTCATGAAAATGTGAGCGCTCCGCGCATGCCTATACGGTTAATTCGCCGATTTGGTCTTCCAGGTTCAATTTTAGTCGCTAGGTGGCGCCAATTGGCATCCAGATTCGGTAGCAAAAACAAACCGACAAGCACCAGGTGCCAATCTCCACATTTTGCACCATTCTCAAGAACCAAGCAAGGATCATTGGGGCGTAGAGCAAGACACACTCTGCAAAGCGTTAGCGGATTTGATTGCCTGCATACCCGAACATCGAAGCCGCCCTGAACCTGGCTCCAGAATGCCGCCGCAGCAGACCTTCCTCTCAACGGCACGATTTTGCGAGAGAAGATTATCGCTTTAGCTTTGAAATTTGCACATGAAGAATTCAGGTGCAGCAACGGATGATTTTCCCGCTTCAAGGAACGGAACAACTTGTCATTCCTTACGGTGTGTGGTGAGAGCGGCAGTGCGGTCAAGATTGTTGTCGAAGATTGGATAAAGCACACGTTGGGTCCACTTCTTTGCAAGTACAGCGCCGAGAACATCTACAATCTGGACAAAGCAGCTCTTTTTTTACAAGGTGCTTTCTACAAAAACATTTGCAGCAAAAGACACCGACGTCAAAGGTCGGACACGGCCAAAAGATAGGACCACAGTCTTGTTCAGTGCAGATTTGACGGGCGAACACAAGCTGCCCCTCCTGGTCCTAGAAAAAGCAGAGGAACCTCATTGCTTCTACAATGCTTGGCTTCCCCACCAGCCAATGAACTTGTCCACCAAAACAACAAGAAAACCTGGGTCACAGCAGCCATCTTCGAAGAATTTGTGCGACTCCACGATTGCAAGTTTGCAGCAGCAGGACGAAAAGTTGTTTTCGTCGTTGATTACTGTCCGTGCCATGGTGACATTCAGAACCTCAGAGCGATCAAGCTGGTCTTCCCCTTACCGAACATGACATCCATCTCGCAGCCAATGGACCAAGGTGTTATTCTTTATACGCGGAAGATCTATTGCTACCACCTTCTGAAGTGGATGTTGCTCTGCTACGACAATGGCAAGGTCTATTCCATCGATCTTTTCGGGGCTATATGCCTTATCGTGTATGCGTGGAAACAGGTGAAGGCAGAAGTTATTAAGAGGGGCTTCGAACACGCTGGATTTTCGAAGGAACTATCGGCCGTGGAGCAGGAGGACACCGCCAGTGCTAGTAATAGTGTTGTCCCTGGGATTAACGATGAGGGAGAGGAGCTTTGCTCGCTCATTAAGGGGGTACACTACCCAGAAAACTCTGAACTTCTGAACCGCTTAGTTGATTTTAATCATATTTGCAGTGGAAGTTTATATGAGTGGCAAGGTCATCCCTGCCAAATTTCATTGTCCTATGTCAATTCTGAAACTTGTTACTAATGTTACAATATGGAAGTCAGTGTATTTAGCAAAACTATCGTTTTAAAATAAAATAAGAATTTGTGATTTTTATGGGTAACATAGTCATAGGAATACCTATAGTACATACCCAGCCAGTTATTTTGCTATTTTGCAATGTTTGTCATAAGTATAACTCTAAGTAGATTAACATTTTTTTTTCATGTCTGGACTTTTTTTTACAAATGTAGTTTTTTTTAGCATAAAAGAATGTCAAAGTAGAAATACTAACTAGCCAGGCATGTTCCTCACAAAATTCTATCCCAGAAAATCACTTCAGAATATTAGAATCGGTCTCTTTCCTCTAGCTTTATCGAGCTTGTGTATCCTTGCGATCAATGAGCAAGATATGCCTAACTTAGGATCGAGCGCATCAAAGATATCCTTCTTGGCGATGGTGCTAAAGGTGCCAAGGAACACACTTAAAAGTTGTCATATTATAGTTTGGTACAGTATGAGGGCTGCTCTCAAGATGTAAAGAAATGAAAGTCGCATTGTTCGTTTCAGGGGCGGATGCAGGAATTTCCTAAGGGGGGGTTAGGTGTTGGCCAGTGTACCACATGTTTAGGAACCCCCTCCCCCTCTCCTTCGTTTTACACCCTAAATTTGACACATGCAGAGATCAAGAGGGGGGTCAGGACATCTGGACCCCCCCTCTAAATCCGCCCCTGGTTCGTTTACAATGAAAGTGCTGGCTTTTATCTGTTGTAGGAATCACTTGTGTTTTTCCCCATGCGCCATCGCTAACAACGATGTGCTCGACGCTCCTGCCGCAGATCGAGGACCTGATCAAGTCCACAAACAAAGTGCTGCAGCTGACAATCGAGCACGACCCCAGCAATATCTCAAGGTGTGCGGCCCTTCTGTGTCCACCACGGAGGAAAGCCCTAAGCGACAAGGAGCGCCGGTACAAGAAGAAGGTACTGCGTAGCTCTTGCTTCCACTCTGTTTTTTTTGTCTCTTGCTATTGCAGCGAAGCTGTCGTGCGCTAGGATCCGGGAAAAAATGGGTCCGCGGATGTTGACAGATAACTCCCCATTGGTCGCGGCAAGTATGAATAAATAAAAATAAAAAGGGGGCAACCAGTGTGAGTCAGCCTTCTTTGGCATTATTGGATGTGAGGTCCTGATTTCTTGTTATCATCTTTAGGCATCGTCCTCGAGGTCGTCCTAGAAGTCGTCCTTGAGGTCGCCTGAGAGGTTGTCCTTGAGGTGGTCCTAGACGTCGTCCTCGAGGTCGTCCTAGAAGACGTCCTTGAGGTCATCCTAAAGGTCGTCTTAGATGTAGTCCTTAGTTCGTCCTAGACGTCGTCCTTGAAGTCGTCCTAAAAGTTGTCCTCGAGGTCGTCCTTTAAGTCGTCATTGAGGTTGTCCTGGAGGTCGTCCTCTAGCCATCCTCAGACATCGTAAAAATAACAGCTTCGCTGGTCCTCCTCCTTCACATGAAGTGGAAGGGCTCTGCAATTTCTTTGGTTTGTTGCTTTTAGTTTTGAGGGTTTACTGACATGTATTGGCAACCCGCGGACCCCAGAGGTGTGAGAACTAAAAACATATTTTTTTGTTTGTAAAACATGACTCTGTCAGTTTTCTTTTTTTTTTTTCCTTTTTTATGTGCATAGTTTTTGCAAAATTTAAGGCCTAAGGGGGGATTTTGCCTTCTCAATTAGTTTTCGTCACAAAAACTAAACGTCATGTTTCACCCAAGTATCCAGTGCAATTGGGAAAACTTTAGCGAAGAATAATCTGTTCACTCCAGTTGGCGTTGGCTGTGGGTGCTACGGAAGTAGCAAACCAGGAAAGGAAGAAACCCCCATAGCCAAAAGCCATAAAGGAGGAAGAGAGAGAGAGAAAGATACGACTTTCCTTTCTATGGAAATTGCACTTACCAGGAACAAGGTCAATTACCAGCAGCAAGGGACTTTTCTGTGCCATTGGCTGTCGCCAACGACTCATTCATCGTCCCAGATCACCGTGCTCCAAAAACCTCTGGAGTGCTGACACCAACCATCTTGGCTGCTTTGGACATTGCAGGCCCTGTGGCGGTATGGATGCTGCAGCAACGGGTGTGTACGTATTGTCCACCATTCATTTGACGACACATTTGCTGGCACAAGAAGAAATCGAAATGGCTGCTAAAGGTCATGCTGCTGCTCAAGCTGAGCTTAGTGCTATGTCAGCGACCAAGAGAAAGTTTCAGGCCATGCAGCCTGATTCAGCAGCCCCCACTACTTCATCTGCTACAGATGCAGATGCGAAGTTCTGCTTCATCCGGATGGATGTTTTGAACACTCTGCTCTGCTCCACACTGTGCAAGCATTGTTTGGAACCCAAGCTAACAGTCCAAGTGAGCACCAAGCTTGGACTGGCCACAGTGGAGGTTGTGTGTGCCGTTTGTGGCATTGTGTCTTCTGCTTGGGGTTTGCCACGCCAGCAAGACTCCACAACTTTTGAAGTGAACATTCAAGCCATGATGGCCACCTAGGAAATCGGGAAGGGGCAGACAGCTCTCCATGATCTCTGGGCAGTGATGAATGTTTCCCCTAGAGGCCTTCATCACAAGACTTCTCTGTGATGAAGAAGAAGACTTTTAAAGAGCCGCAGGCCCAGAACCTGGACGGGTTTTTCGCAGAGCCAGCTACTGCTGTAAAGGTAGCGTACGAGGAGATCGAGAGAAGTTTTCTGCAAGGACGTAGCTGTGGTGTTAACGGTACGTGGCACAAGTGTGGGCATACATCTTACATTGGCGTTGGATTGGTGATCGAATACCACACGGTCCTCATATTGGATGCCGTGGTGCTCTCAAACCTGTGCCTTGGATGTCAGATGGGACCACAGCCTGGAGACAAGGGGTGCGACAACTGGCACATACCACATATGCCAGAAGAACACAGATGAAAATGAAAGTAAAAGAAAGAAATCGTAGAGCCCTTCCACTTCACGTGAAGATAAACGACCAGCGAAACTGTTATTCTTACGTCTAGGACGATGCCTAGAGGACGACGTCTAGGACGACCTCAAGGAGGACTTTTAGGACGACCTCTAGGACGATGTCTAGGACAACCTCAAGGACGCCGCCTAGAGGACAACTTCTCAGATGACGCCTAGAGGACGATGCCTAGGATGACCTCGAGGACGACGTCTAGGACAACCTCAAGGACGACGCCTAGAGGACGACCTGAAGGACGACTTCTAGGATGACCTCAAGGACGATGTCTAAGACGACTTCTAGGATGACGCTTATAGGACGACCTCTAGGACAACCTCAAGGACGACGCTTAGAGGACGACCTCTAGGATGACCTCAAGGACGATGTCTAGGACGACTTCTAGGATGACGCCTAGGACGACCTCGAGGACGATGCCTAGAGATGATAACAAGGGATCAGGACCTCACTATCTAATAATGCCACGGAAGGCTGACTCAGGCTGGTTGCACCCTCTTTTCCTTTTTATTTATTCATACTTGCACGACTAGTGGGGAGTTTCCTTTCAACATTCGTGGACGCATTTTTTCCCAGATCCTAGCGCATCACAGCTTCGCTGTAAAAAGAGAAAGAACTTGCTTCATGGCGAGGCGGCGGCGCATACGAAAGGTCCCGGGAGACATCTGCCAATAGATGTAACGCGTAATGGCTCTCTCAGCTATGACACCAGGGCAACTACTACAGAAGTGGAATTGGGCACCCTAAGCTCTGGTATAGGCTAGCTGTATTACTGGTAGTCTCAACTACAGCACATTTTTTGCCAGTTAGTGAGTTCATTGTAGTGCCGCTATATTTGCAGTTGTGTTCAATGCAACTGCAATTTTTGATACACCTTTGCCAGACCTGATTCTGTCTACCTCTGATAAAGGTAGCCAGCACCTGGGCAATAGTTCGGCCGCTGTTGATTTACGAAGCAGAGAAAGCATGAAGGCCCCTTTTCCAGTCATGATTTCTCATTTTTCATAGTGAGAGGCTCCGTGTTGAGATTATGGCGCTTGATAAAGCTCGAGCCACCTCGGTGGCTTCGTCACAGAGCGCCGTTGTGCGGATCCCCAGTTGGTGGGTTCGAATCTCTGCCAAGTTGCCTGCATTCTGAAGAAGGCTTGTGCGGAGAAAGCGCCGTATAACTGAGATTTCGGTTGCGCGTCAAAAGATCCCCAAACGGTCGAAGTTAGTCCTCAGTCCTGGGCTGTGCCAGACGCCCTTTAGTGCTTTGGCACGTAAAACCTCTAAATTTGACTTTTCTTTTTTTCGGTAAAATGCCGGGTAGGAGGAGAGCAGTGGTAGCAGTGGTGCCCGGTCGCGCCAGCTCAAGAGGACAAGTGGAGTCCGAGAGCGGTCTTCCTCCCTGCCTCGTCTGCTAGTCAGGTGAGCACGGAGACTGAAGCACTGTTGAAAACGGATCTTCAAAAGATGTTCTTGCAGGCTTGGCACGCGAAGGGAGGACTGTGCTGAGACGAGCATCAGCGAGGGTTTTTTTCAATATTGCTGGTTTTATGTTTTTGAAAATCCTACTTCATTGCTCAGAGTGGAGGCCTTAGGTAAATGTACACAGTGGCTGCACATTCTCGGTGGATGTGCCGATGGCACACTGTCGAAATATCTGACGGGGTGCCTGAAACGAATTTGTCACTCTTCTACGCACGGTTATGGACAGGGCTCGCTGTGCTTTTTCTACGTAGAGCTTCGTAATCGAGCGGCAAAAACACGAAAACCGATAGACGAGTATATGTCAAATTCTCTTGCCTTTTTGCAAAAGTTTTTAAACAGGTTTTGCCTCTAATAATAATTGCGGTCAATACCACAATTGGAACGTGACCCGTCGGATCATAGATAAAAAAAAGTTAACAAATTCTAGTTAGTGGTTCTAGTGATTGTGGCAGTTATGCGCCCATGAAATGCCCGCCGAGCCCGACGCACATGCAGTGAATATGGTATCGATGTAGTGGTCACCCTCTTCTTTTCGAAAAGATCCTTTATATAATAAAAAGACACCCTGTGTATTTGGAGTGTCTAGAATTGGGTTATTATCGCATCACTCAAGACCCGAGTTTTTGTTGACACGCACGAAAAAGCCACGGACCCTAGCCATGAACAGCTTCACTGTGAAAGAACTGGGCTGTTGCAAAGAATGTGCGAGTCAAGAAATGCAGTGGAGTGATGCAAAGAGCCGTAAGTGGGTAAACAGCAAAAACAGAAAGAGGCAGACTCGACTAGGCGACCTTACTTGTCACGTTGGGCGGCCAACCGCATCTGGGCAAGAGCAATAAACATTTGGACTCAACGGCCGTGAAGGCGATGCAGTAAACGGGAGGTGAATGCTACACATATCCCTATTGGAGTTTAACGGCACCGGCATTCTTGAGTGCAAGAGCCAAGAACTCGCATTAACCGAGAAACTGTAAACGAGGTTCTAGTGTACTTTGGCATGATATCCTATGTTGGCAGTGTTCTTTGGGGAGATAGTGGTGATGCCGAGTACGATAACAGTCTCCCAAAACCACGAACGTCCAGTGTTGTGCGGTAAACTAAACTTTCCTTTTTAGAAACACGTTTTTATCTTTACTGCAGTTGCCACATCAGTCGTAATTGTGACGGCCGCATTTTTGTTGTCGTCACGGTGGCCAGGCTGGCGGTTCTGAGCCCGAACCCCTTGCATTGCAGTGACCCCGCTGCGTGCAGCAGCCAGCCAACGTACGACCTGAGTCGTACCAAGTCGTTCCGCATCGAGCCAAAGAACCAGAGGATCTTCCGGGCGTCCGACCTGGTGCAAGGGAAGCTGCTGGGAAAGGGCTTCTTCGGCCAGGTGTACCTGGTGCGTACCCGCCTTGGCGCTCGCCCACCTTTCTGGGTTTCTCGCAGACGTCCGCTTCCGGCAACGCTTTGAACGAGCACTCTTCTTTCATACTCGTGTTTTTGTGTGCTCCATCTTATCGCGAATCGGTACCGACTGGCCCAGTTTTCGACACTTTTGTCGTCTACGCTACACTACGTGTGTGCTGTGCCAGGCACGACCCGAACCAGCTAAGCATTTGGACCATCCACGTCGCACGCTTCACCTTAAAGGGACACTGACAGGCTATTATTGCTCGCCAAGGTTTTTACAGTCGACTCTCATTAATTCAAACTCTCTTAATTCAAACTTGCGAATAATTCAAACTAGCATGCAGGTCCCATCCTATGCATCTCTATGGGAGGAAACACCCGGTAATTCAAATTCTGCTTTATTCAAACAAATTTTCGGTCCCCCTCGAGTTTGAATTAACGAGATTCGACTATATTTGTACATGACGCATGAGAGCCCAACTACCCACACCACAATTTGCGGCTCGAACTTCGTTCTCTTTTCGCCCAAAAACCTATGATCAAGAACTGGCCGGTTTGAATCGCGCTCATTCTCTTCTCTGTGGTCACGTGCCGTTTCCTATGGTTTAGAAACAACAACCAAAGATAATCAAAGTCGTGGGTCATTGAACACACATACTCAATACTAAAAATAAACAGAAAATATGATACCCATTTTTTCTGGCTTCAAAAGAACTGCAAAAACGTTGATCAAAAAAAAAAAAAAAAGTTGCACAGCTACGTGATTTTTGGCAACGCTCTCCTCCCAATTTTTTCTTCTTCCTCCCCAGTCCAGTTTCGGTTTCGAGCAGTTGCGTTTTTTTTTTTACTTCATTAAAAATGCATGTGACTTTGTGGCAAAATATTGATTGGGTAGTCATCTGACACTATGTTAAATTGCCTGGCAAAAAGATAAAAACAATTTTTGGGGGATGTCAGTGTCTCAAGGGTCCCTTTAAGGACAGTGCCACCCTGAAACAAATAATATTCTTGCGAAGAGTTTCATTTCACGTTTAAGACTCCATCCAAAAGCTTTTTCGCTGAAGAAGTGAGTGTTTTGTGCTGAGAAAAGTGTACGTAGTTGGACTGAATCTGAAGGAACAGTGTCGGAGAGCTGCGACGTCGGAGACCCCCAGAGTCGCTGGAAGCCGCTTCAGTTTTTCCACTGCTTGTGACAGTGTTTCAATGGTCGTAATGCTTTACTGCCTCTCAAATATTGTGATGTTTATTGTGGTTGCATGTGACTGAGGGAAGTCTCGAGCAGAGTGTGGAACTAGAACAAAACCGAACCGATCAAAATTTAACTTTGACATACTAGCTTTGAGTGTCCGGTGCTCAGCAGCTGGTTCTTTTGTGGAGGCCTTATGGGTCGCTGCACCTTGAAATGAAAAAAGGACTTAAAGGGACACTGACAGGGTATTTATGCTCGCCGAGGTTTTTAGTTGTACGTGACATATGAGAGCTCAACTACCCAGAACAGAATTTGCGGCTCGAAATTCGGTTTCTTTCCGCCCGAAAACCACCGATCAAGAATTGGCCGGTTCGAGTCTCGCTCACTCTCTTCTTCGCGGTCACGGGCCATTTTCTAAGGTATCGATGCGACCACCAAATTTAATCAAACTCGTGGGTCACTGAAGGCACACACTCAATATTAAAAATAGAAAAAAATATGAAACCCATTTTTTGTGGCTTCTAAAAAGCTGTAAATACGTTGAGAAAAAAAAAAAAAGTTCCACAGACAACCGGAAGCATTCTGCGCGTTCGTCGTTTCGCGTATCGTGGGACTCGCGGGGACGGCGATGGCAGCGGACGACGGGCGTGGGACCTCTATTTCAGAACTGTCGTTCGCGGTACCGGCGAATTCTGTCTACCGTTAAAAGAGACATTTGGGACTGATTAAAAGAATTGGTATTCATCCCGTACGACACGCCCGGCCACCAAGCCGATTTGCACGAAGACGTCGCCGAGCCGTCGCTCCCTTCTCGTGGCTGAAGACAACGCTCGCGCAAACGTCAAGCACGACGTGTCTACTTCGAGTTGAATATGCACGCATACAATTTCTTTACTAGGTGCGAATGTCCCCAAAGCGTGGTGCTTCCCGACTTCGACCCGGGAGTGCTTTTGCTAAAGAAAAATCGACAGGAAACTTTCCAACTTACAGTTTACCGGCTGAATTATTGCTAAGGAAAGAGATCCACCAGAAACGAGATGCCCCAGTAGCTCAGTGGGAAAGACGTCCGCTTTACACATGGTAGAACCGGGTTCAATCCCCCGTGAATTTTTTTTTTTTTTTTCAAACATTTTTTGATGTTTACATATCTTTTTCTTTTTTTTTACAATCATCACTGAAGAAACAAACAAAAAAATAACAAACAAATGTTGTGGACGATACTTCGCTGAATTAAACGGTATGGGATTTCCGTTTTGACACCTGCGAACTCAATGTAATCACTTTCCACAAAATCCAAGGAGCATATAAATCAGGTAGCGTCCGCTTTCCGAGGTGCCCGTAAATGTTCTACAGGAATTGCGGCCAGCCATTGGTCCCGATCCCGTTGATCTTTCGGAAACTCTGTCGCACAATGCCACTTTGTTTCGGATGCAGGACATGTGAGCCAGCTCTTCACGCAACATCTTGGGTTTATTCTTTTCGGAGCCGATCATGGAAATTCACCACGGGCACTCACTACTCATCTCCAACTCCTCAATGTACAAAACAACTCATCTTGGAGCACAGAACAACGAGCGGAACAAACATAACTGCAAAAGAATCGCACGGCAAGCACTTCCTGCACGCCGCATCGCACGCCGCATCGCACGCCGCATGTCGTGTCGTCTGCTACCGGAGAGGAGAAAAAAAAAAAAAAAACGCACGGTCGGGTGTAGCCACGTGACTTCCGCCAGTCACTCTCTTCTCTCCACTTCTCCGACCTCCGTCGGGTTTCGGTTTCGGTTTCGAGCAGTTGCGTCTTTTGGCTTTATTAAAGAAATACGCTACTCTGTTGCAAAATATTGATTGGGTAGTCCTCCGACACCATAATGAAGCGCCTGGCAAAAAATAAAAAAATTTTTTTGGAGGGTGTCAGTGTCCCTTTAAAAAATGACCGCATCTCCACGTGGTGAATGATGTTGATTGGGGCGAAGCTCTGGTGGTGCTGATGATACTGATTTTTTGAGTATTTGACCGCAGCACCCTCTCGTCTATAAACGTCGAGCCAATGCATGCAAAGTTTAACGCGATTATATACGCATTTGACCGCAGCGCCCTCTCCTGTATAGACGTTGAGCGGCTACATGCAACGTTTCATTCATGACATCCCCAGCTCTTAAGTTACTACCAGATCTCAGAGCCCCCTACTCGTCTTGCAGTCGTGGCTGAGTGGTTAAGGCGATGGGCTAGAAATTCATTGGGGTCTCCCTGCACAGGTTCGAATCATGTCGGCTATGCAAACATTTCTTTCTGTTTTTAAGAAGACAGATGGGATGGCAATCGATGTGAGCACGGATTCCGCACAAGGCTGGATTCTAAGAAGCTTCGCCCCTAAAAACTTTTTTTGAAATCGTGTTTTTTAAGATCTACAGCCACTTTTGACCTTGTCATCATGCTTTTTTTTTGTTAGACTCCTCAAGGGGTTAAATAAGTCAGATTAATTTTTATATGTTGATTAAGGTTGAAAGATGGGCTAGTTGGTACATTGTTGGGTGGAAACGCTGAACAAACAGGGACAAAAACGTAGACAAGACATGGCTCAGTCAAGATTGAAGGTTGATTAGAAAAAATATACTATTAAGGGCCACCGTCAGGTCAAAATGATATTTTTTTTTATTATCAGAAACGTTTAAAAACTATGCCTGGACGCTGCCCTCAAGATACGGAACTTGGGAACTCGGTATTTTTTAAGTAAAAAACAATTTCCCAAAACTGAATTAGAAGTTGCCACGCGATCTGCCCCAGTGCAGTGACTTCAACGATTGAGTCGTCCTGCAACTCGAATTTCTCTCGCGCCTCCAAACCGTCCACACTCGGAAGTGTCGTGTTTGCCCACGTCCCGCGATTGACTGCTCTCTTCCATGCGTGCCGCCTATCGCTGCGAGCAGGTGACGCTTCACTCTTTCAGTTTGAAGTTCTTTTAAGGCTCTTTCAGCGATCCCAAATCCTTTGAAACGGTGCGAGGTCCAAAAGAATGCGCAGTGGACTTTTGTGAGTGAAGTGAGGGCCCACGTCGCGCTGGTTCTGAGTGGAAGGCTGCCCCGGCGCAGTCCCAACCGAAACCGGGGGGTCAAAGGCGACACCTGGCAGCGGCTTAACTGAGCGCAGGAAGTATCAAGAAACGGGAAAAGTGGTGGAGGGGGGGGGGGGGGGGGGGTGGTTACCGTCTCATAATCGTGCATTCTTCCTTGTTGCCGAGGCCGTCACTTCCGGTCTCGGGAACGTTCTGTTCCTCTCCGATAAAGAGAGAGATGGCTACGATACGTTCCGAGTCCCCTGTTTTATGGCATAGGCCTTTACAACCGCGCGCCCGTACCGTCCTCTGTTTGCTCCCAGAAAACGGGCCGACGAAAAGGGCGAATATGCTCCGACATGTATAGCCATTGAATGCTACGAGTCTGCCTCTCTCTTTGCCACCTCCCCCTCGCGTTCGCGCAACCGGTTCTTGATGCAGCGCCCTTTGTCCAATATATACTTGGCTCACACGAGAGGGGCACAGAATAGGCTTGTCCGGTTGCGCAGGGGAAGAAAGGTTCCGAGCGCTTCTTGGCACACTGAGTCTCGGTTTGTGTCGGTGTGTTCACTTGATGGCACGTTGCGTCCAACTCGAATGGGCACGAGAAGACCAGTTCTGTATTGAAGCAGAGAGCTACTAGCTTTAGATGGTGCCCGGCATTATGGTAGTATGGTATTGTGGCAAATTTCCTTTGGCCGAGCAGGCTTCTGGATGCTCGCACCCTCGACGATGAGTTTTTTTAAGT